CGACTCCCGTGTCCTTTAGCTGCTGTCTAAACTCGCCCCACATAGTCACTGCAGCAGATCTGAAAATCAACACAAACACTGCAAACGAAGAACCTGCAAACACGCAAGCTGCCATGTCAGGGGATCTAGAAGAGCCTTTTCAAGAAGAAGCGCAACAAATGCCCGAAGAAGGCCCCCACAGGTTTTCTCAAGCAAAGCCAGAGGCTCAAGAGGCACACGGGCACAGCGAATCACAAGAATTGCCAGAGACGCAGGGGCCCCTAGGGGGCCCTCCAGAGCCACAAGGACCCACAGATCCACAGCGGACCCCACGAGGGTCCTCACAGGGCCCCCTAAAAGGGTCTCTACAGGGGCCCCAGGGCCCTCGTCTGACTTCCGGTGGTGTGCCGGTTGCTGCTCCTTCTCCTTCTCTGCCAATATGGGCAGAACACGTCAATGATGGGGGCGCGTAAGGCGTGCTGCTGCTGCTGCTGCAGCTTGTTGCTGATGCACCTTGCTGCTGTTTTTGTGCTGCCTGTTTTTCGTCAGGAACGTCAATTGTGTCTGTCTTATAACTGTGCCTGTAAGGCGTAGAGCTTTGAGCCCAAAACCCTTGTCTGGGTCTCATTTAAGTCACTGAGTCATTTCAGGATTTCAGGTTTCGGGTTTCAGGCCTTGAATAGAAATAAAGTTTGCGTTTTCCGCTAAAGGGCTTTGACGCCTGTCAAGTTTCGCGCCAAGCTTTTAGACTGTTTGATGCCTCCAAAGTATGGCGTATGAAGTTCAAGAGTTAAGATTGAGGGCTCAGCGCCTAGACGTATGGTTTTAGGGTTTAGGGCTAAGCACACAAAACTTAATGACAGTCATTGCTCTTCTGTTCTGTAAGGATAGACGCAAATGAAACTGCAAATAAGTAAAAGCAGAGGACAAGGGCAGCTGGAAACAACGAACTCCTGGAAGGGGGAGGCAGGAGCTTTCCGTTGCTGCTGAATGGAAAAGTTTCAGTGCCGAGATTTTCGACTGCAGCCTCTACTGCAGCAACAGCAGCGTCCGCTGCGACTGGTGTCGCCTTGCCTGCCTTTGCTGCAGCAGCGGCAGCTACGCCATGCAGCGGGAATCGCGGTTGTTGCAGCAGCTCCTGTTGCAATAACTGCAAGCGCCGCTGCACCTATCTTTACTGCTGCAACAGCCGATGCAAGCGTCAAAGGTGTTCCTGCTGCAGCAGCAACAGCTTCTGCAACTGCACGAGGTTCCCTAAGTGTTTCTAGCGTGCGTTGCCTGTCTCAATGCCGTGCATACATGTATGTCTTCTTACACTTGGGAACAAAATCAAGAGAAATCGCGAGTTAGACACATACAAGCACAAAGTAGGTAAACGCTGGGCAAGTACGTGTAGGTACGATGTAAGGGGCTCTACACGCTTTGAACGGTACAAGCAGAGACAGAACAACTTAATCCGGGTAACTTGCTGTCCATCACGGTATGTTAGAACATATGTGTGTAACTCTGTTGGCGGGTGTAGGTGAATACATGTATAGGTACATAACTGCACAGAGAACAGACATAAGTTTCGGTTTTTGGCGTTATGAATCCGGGGGGTAGAGGTAAGCATTGCCTTCTATTCACTGGCTTCTTTAGCACAATTGCGCAAGGTGACGCAGCGCTTTTGCCTAAGAATTTGCTCACCGTGGGTAGTTGGGACATCTTTCTATCTGTTTACGTTTCCTGGCTGCCACTAATTTTATCCAGCTACAGCCACCTGCAGCTAGCAGCAGCATTCTACTTCTAGCAAAGGTACCCATTGACCATGGCCATGCTGGAGTAAAACTAATTAGGACCCATTGGCCACAATTTACTCCCTGCAAGTAATCTACCTAGAGCTACCTACAAGTGGCTGTGGCCAGCTGCAGCCTGCCGCCACCAGTTTGATGTGCTGTGCCTGACTTGTGCGTCGGGCGTCCGTGTCTTCTTGGATGAAAATAAAGTGAACAAATAACAGCAAGCTCAGTACGTGAAAACAAAAATAAAGTGGTCCTTATTTCAGCACCATTCACATGAGTAAGAGTAATAAATTGTTGCGAATGAAACGAAATGCATTCACATCGACGGAACACTTCAAACTCAGCAGTTGATACTGATCTGAAAAGCTGGATGGGCGAGGTTCTTTGCACACACTGGGTATACTTCTTGTAAGATGAGAATGACTGGATTAATTTGAACAAAACAATGATTGAAAAAGATACAGTGAAACAGACTTGTGCATTCGAAGACTACTTGTCGCTGCTTGGCAGATGACACTGGAGCTCAGTGTCAATGTTCCAAACCACCAGGACTGCGCAGCCCTGGCCATAATCTCTCGGCACTGAGGCCTACACCATCAGCTCGTGATTTAGCAATACATAAATTGGAGTTTATGAAGAGTCAAAGCAAGCAAACTTGCTGGCTTAGATCCTAGACTGTAAACTCGTAGGAAAGCCAAGCAGCTTGGCCAGCCTACAGGCCCGCGCTGCGGCATAGACCCCAAGCCCGTTTCAAGCTGGCGCGCACTGACTTATCATTAGTTTATTGAGTGAGCAATTAAGAAATACTAGTACTTCAAGGAATAGGGAGAATGCGTTGGTGCAATAGTTGAAATTCTGTTGCACTGCTTCTGGGGCTGTGTGGGACTGGCAACACTGTTTTGCAGTTGCCTTTTGTGTCTCACTTTTTGGGGATTTCCTCATTCTTTGAAACTTGACAAACTTTATCGTCTCGGCGCCGTTTTTGGCTGTTTAAACATTTTCGTGCTTCATCACCATTTCCTCCGCCTTTTCCTTGCTTTGCTTCCCGCCACCTGTCTCCTGATTATCGGGGCCCCTGAAGCCTTCTAGAAGCCCCAAGTGCCATCGCTCACTGAGTTGCAGCGTACAGAGGCCAGGGGGCCCCCCTCGTCTTTCATGATTCTGCATATCTGAGGGTCCCGTAGGGCTGCTATCTGCCTTTCGAGGGGGCCCCAGCCCCTTCGTGGCCTTCTCTCTGGGTCGTGGCTAGCGCTGCTTCAGCAGCAGCAGCAGCAGCAGCAGCAGCAGCGGATGCTGCATGCTTCTGCTGCTAATTAGCCCAGCGCTTCTCTTCCTTTGCTGCTGCAGGGCCAGGCCTTAAGTCGTAGCCCTGAAACCTGGGCTTCGAGCCCCGCCCATGGCTCATACTTCCAATTGAAAAGAAGGAAACAAACGAACAGCCAAACAGTAAACGGAAAAGCAAGAAAATAAAAAAGGAAATAAACAGCCAAGTGAAGAAGAGAAGAAGTGAATGTCGAAGTGTACGCAGCTTTCTGAAGCACACTGCCGCAGGCTCGGGAGTTGTGTTTGTCTTTTATTTTTTTGTGTTATCTTGTTTTGTCTACCTCGCTTTCTTTGCTTTGCTGCTTTTTATTTGCATGGGTTTTATATGTATGTGTCTTCACGATGCTAGGCGGCAAGGGCTTTGCTGCAGTTGCTGCTAGGAGCTGCTGCCTCTGCAGCAGCCCCCAGCCGCGAAAGCGCCCAGCAGCAGCAGCAGCAGCAGCAGCGACAGCAGCAGCAGCAACAGCAGCAGCAGCAGACCACTGCAGCTGCGTGTTGTGGAGGAGAGGCAGCAGGTGCTTTGCGAGAGCATGTGGCGGCCAGACGCGGCACTTGCACCTGGCAGCGAGCCCCGCGGGAGCAGCAGCAGCAGCAGCGGCGAAAGCTGCAGCAGCAGCAGCAGCAGCACCTACAGCAGCAAGAGCAGCAGCAGCCCCTGGCAGCTGCCCAGGCAAAGCCCACAGGCTTGCGGCTTCGCCTCTCTACAGCAAACTGCCGTGGCCTGCTGCAGCTGCCCCGGAGGCCCAATTTGCCTTTTCTGCATTTCAAGTTATTTCAACTAAGTCCAGAGACAAACAATTTAATAGACAAACGAGGGCCATGCATGGGCCCCCAGCAGCTGACAGCCCACAGGGGGCCCCCGCGGAGCGGCCAGTGGCGGCGCACAGCAGCAGCAGGGACAGCAGCAGCAGCAGGGACAGCAGCAGCAGCAGGGACAGCAGCAGCAGCAGGGACAGCAGCAGCAGCAGGGACAGCAGCAGCAGCGGCGGGGCTGCCTTAGACTTTGCCGAGGTGTATGTGCCTCGGCGTTCCCCTGGGGAACAGTCAGCAGCAGCAGCAGCAGCAGCAGCAGCAGCAAAGCTGGCTTTGTACCCTAGCTCGGGGCGTGGGGTGTCTAGACAGCCCACACAGGGCGAAGGCGCAGCAGCAGATTCGGGGGGCCCCAGGGGCCCCCGAGATCGGCAGAGGCCCCCTCTTTTGTCTGCAACAGATGCTGCTGTTGCTCGCATCAAGGAACTGGTGCAGCAGTACAACGAGCAGCTGCAGCAGCAGCAGCAGCAGCAGCAGGGGGCCCCTTTGCCCAAGGCTTCGGGGATCCGCATTGCTCTGCGGCGCCAGGGCTGCAGCGGAATGGCCTATGATGTCACACTCTACACAGAGGGGCCCCCCTTGAGCAGCAGCAGCAGCAGCAGCAGCAGCAGCAGCCCCAGCAGCGCAGCTGGTGCTGCAGGCCCTGCTGAGGGGCCCCAGGGGGCCCCCCGGGCTGCTGCGGGGGGCCCCCGCTCCCGCAAGGGCAAGGACTGGGGCAAAGATGAAGTTGTTAAAGTTGGGGGAGTTGAAATTCGAGTTGCTGCTGATGCAGTTATGATGCTGGTGGGGACTCAGGTTGATTTTGTTGATGAAGATGTACAAACTGGCTTTGTCTTCAACAACCCCAACCAGAAACAGTCTTGCGGCTGCGGGAAGAGCTTCATGGTATAGCCTGCAGCAGCTGCTGCTGCAGCCGCTGCAGCTGCGGGCGCAGCAGCAGCAGCAGCAGCAGCAGCAGCAGCAGCAGCAGTTGGCTCCCCGGGCCAGGCCTGGGCACAGGCGCCGGCGAACGCATGCGTTTCCGTTTGGGGCTTTTGGAATGTTGCACGTTGCTGTTTTGTTTTTTTCATTTTTTAAATTTTGTCTGTCTCCAGGTGCTGCAGCTTCTCACGCCTCGGCCTGGGGGGCCCCCGCGGCCATCAATTCGAAGAAGTAACTGCACTCGAGGGCCCCGTCTTCCTTCAAGTCTGTACAGTGGAGGCCATTGCGGGGGATGTCAGTGCCCAGTTTGGCTCGCAGGGTGGAGGGGTGGAGGCAGCGGCAGATTTCGGGGTCGTGGGGTCCTGAACACGCATGCATGCATGCATGCATGCATGCATGCATGCATGCGTGCATGCATGCATGCGTGCATGCATGCATGCAGGGTTGCATGCATGCGTGCGTGTGAATGTACGTACGTGTTCATTTATATGTGCATATATTCAGCTGTACGTACACCTCAACAGTCGAGGCGAAGGGCGCAAGAGCTAGGGAGCCGCAGTGTGATATGTCTGAACTGCTTTGCTGAAGGCGCTCTGTCACGAACAAAAGAGGCGCAAAGCTGCTGCTGCAGCTGCTGCTGCAGCTGCTGCTGCAGCTGCTGCAGCTGCTGCTGCAGCTGCTGCTGCAGCTGCTGCTGCTGCAGCTGCTGCTGCTGCCCGTGACCCTGCTGGCTTGCAGTGTGTTGTTCTCACCCGCTAGGCGTCTGAGCCTGGCCACCGCGTCAGGTCCTTCGAGCTGCAGCGCCACGACAGTTCCGTTTGTCATTTCCTCAACAATCTGCAAAAGAGGAACACGAGGCGAAGCAAAAGACCAACTCCAAACTTCAAGTTCAGAGCTGCTGCAGCAGCTGCAGCGGCTGCAGCAGCTGCAGCAGCTGCAGCAGCTGCAGCAGCTGCAGCAGCTTAGCTGCCGCACGAAGAAGTGACAAAAACGGGAGCCACTGCCCTTTCCGACTTTGCGGGAATGCCCTCTCGAGGGTCTTTCTTAGGGGCCCCCAGGAGTGCTTCTAAAAGGGCCTTTTATGAAGCTTTTGCTGACGCGATTAAAGGCTACCCTGGGGGCCCCCGAGACCCACTGGGGCCCCACCTGTGGGTATTCCTTCAGCACTGTTCTGTAGATCTCGAGGAACTCTTGGGCGGCCAAATTCGTCAGGCGAAAAGACTGCATGTTGGAAATTGCAAAGTTCGCATTTATTAGTTCTTCAATTATGCCGCCAGTTTGCTGTATGGCATGGGGCTTCACGACGCAGCAAGTGACCTCAGGCACTGTAGTGGCTCCAAGGGCCCCCACCCCCAAAGGGGCTTCAGGGGCCACTGCAGGGGCCCCATCAGGGGCCCCAACAGGGGCCCCAGCAGGGGCCCCAACAAGCGTCGCAGCAAAGGCCCCACCAGGGGCCCCCACAGGGGCCCCAGCGAGGGTCGCAGCAGGGGCCCCCGCAAGGGTCGCAGCAGGGGCCCCCGCAAGGGTCGCCGCAGGGGCCCCTGCAGGGGCCCCTCCGGGGGCCCCTGCAGGGGCCCCTCCGGGGGCCGCTGGGCGGGGCATAACCTTATCGCAGAGCTGTGCAGCCAAGTGCTCGATGGCAGCAGCGGGGGTGTCCGGACTTGGGTGTAGCGACTGAGGGGCGAGGGTGGCAACCCTGCGAGGGGAGAAGAGCAAAGAGAAGAGAAGAAAACAGGTTAAGGGGCCCCCCGGGACTTGTAACTTGTAATGCGGCATTTGTGTTTCCGAGAGCTTCTGAGTAGCTGCAGCGGCTGCGGGGAAGCGGCTTAGAGGGGCAAAGCTGAGCTGCGAAAATGGGCAGAAAGAGCTGCTAATGGCACTCCAGAGATGCCGACTAAGAGAGAAGTGCGCACTTATTTGCTGCGTCTCTTCCGAGCAAAGTGAAAGCCACAATAGCAGAGGAAGACAAGACCGAAAGGTCCCCCTGCATGCATGCATTTGGCGAGAGAAGGGCCAGCAGATCAGCCAAAGAAGCCTCCAGGGCCAGCTGCCTGCAGCTGGCCAGCGTGAGCCCAGAGTCAAGCAGCCCCTGCAGAGCTCGGGGGTAGTTGTGGGTGTCAGTGGCGCGCCAGATGCAGAGGGCAGGCTGCATGCTGCGGGCGAGGTAGGCAGCAGTCTGCTGGTTGGCGGGCTCGAGGATTCTTAAGTGTCGGGAAAAAAGAACAAGCTGCGCCCCTTGATACAAGTTCTGAATTGTGGCCTTGGGAACCAAAACCCGTTTCAAGTTCGTGCTGCTGCTGCTGCTGCTGCTGCTGCTGCTTTTGAGTTCTATTGTGCTGTCGCTGGTGTAGTACACCAGTATCAGTTCCTTTGTGTCGCCAGCACCCGACGCGTCCCAGGACGCGTAGAAAGCAAGTCGGGGAGGGGTGTCCATTTTGAATATATTTTTAGTAAATTAATTTCAATTGAAGTCTATTAATGAGCGGCGGATGCCGCTTCACTGCTGCAACCGAGCAGCGCGCGCATGTAGATCTGAACAGTCGGCTGCAGGCCACTGCAGCAACAACAACGGAGAGCCAGAAGGATGCCATCCGGGGCTCTCCTCGAAGAAATGAATGCGAAATAAATCCTTTTAAAACTATTTTCACTAAAAGTGAATTCTTTTTGGAGTTCCAGAAGGGGTGCGCATGCTGGCAGGTGTCTTGTGGCTCATCCGCTCGCTATGCATCTGCTTCTCAGCTCTGCAGCCTTCACTTCGAAACATTATTGTTGAATAAATTTCACTAAGTCGAGCCAGTTGATTTGGGTTTAGTTTGAAGGCGAGAAGAGGCAGCTTCCCCGTAGACTGCTCGGAGGTGGCACATGCAAAATGTCGATTCAAAACTTGAACGCAAGAGCAGCGGGAACTACATCAGCAAGTTGGGTCCAAATGCGAAATAACATAATTATATTTCTCATTATTTAACTTATAAATCAGTTTAAATGCAAGATTAGGCAGTTTAATCTCATTTTTTGCCTTCTTCAGTCCCGTCAGTCAAGGATTGCGAGTTTCTGAAGAGGAATACAGACCTGGACCTCGCAGTCACTGAAGATCGGGTGTACCTGGTTGACTTCCCTCAGTCTGTAGGCAACCTGAAAGAAATAGTTATGGCCCGTTTTGCATTTAAAGCAATTTAGAATACTTTGCAACGCAAAAAAGACAGACATTTATTAGTTCCTGCATCATGGCCTGCAGCCTGGCGTCCGGGCTTGCGGCCCTGTCCTGGTGGCAGACTCTGCAGTTTGGCATTTCCAAAAACTAGATTTGATATTTGTACTTTCTGTTCTTTTTCAAGTGCCGCCTTCGCCACGGCGTCTTCGGCGTTTTCCTGCGCGGCGGCCGTTGCTGCGCAGTCTCCAGAAAATGTTGAATGAGTTAAAGCCTCACTTCAGCAATCTCAGCCTCCTCAGCCAAGTCTCGGGCGTGCTCGAGTTTGCGTTCAAGCTGGTTATCTCTGAAACTCGTGTTGAAACTGAAGCGCTACTTTTGCACAGCAGTGGCACCTCTCCATCTGCTCCTCGAGCTCATCCGCCACCTTATTCACGTCATCTTCCCTTTCTTCTTCCTGCAGTCCCGTAAATTTTAATTTAATGTTTGGTTATCGAACTCCAGAACACAAGGCTCACGCTTAACTCCTCGCCTTCCTCACCCTCCTCTTGCAACAGCCGCAGGGCTGTGCAGGACGAACTTTCGCTGCATAAGAAGATGAGGAAGTAGGACAAAGTTAGGGATAAAGGCACAAAAAAAATCCTCATGATTTCATTAGATGAAATTGCTGTTTCAGGTTTGACTGCTGCCAAAACCACAAAACTCTGAAGTCATCATCAAGTGCTTGAATGTGCATTCCTGACACCTGCGCATACACCAGAAACCTGAACTCTGACATTCACCCCAAAAGCTTCAGTAACAAAACTAATCAACGTTTGTCTGTTACGTAATTGTTTTGACATTCATTTAGTTCAAGACTTGAAGAGGAACCACTTTCGATTCATGAGCTTACGTGTACACGAGCTGTCACAATCCTTAGCGCCACTCGACTCCAAGCTACTTAGACCAACCGAAGGCTACTGAGGAGAACACTTTCGTAACTTAACTCCGAAATCGTATAAGTTTCGTGAATTCACGATTTAAGGGTGGCCAGGGCCGCAGCCGAATGCAACGTGGCGCAGCAGAAGGAACTGCGGCTGACCCAGCGTCACTCTGTGTAGCAGTAAGGACGGGATTCAATCTAAGTGCGGGGCCCTATGGATTAAAAGTACAATTTAAATACCAAAAGAAGGCCGTATTAAGTATCACAGCCTAAAATCGAAGCATCGTGAGACTGGGGCCACACTCTGCCCCACAAACTCCTACCGCCAGTCAGCATCGCGAGGCGACGCGGCCATCTACGCAATACCCCCCGCCTAAACCTGCCTCCCCAAAGGACTTGCATTAAAATTAATCTTTTCTTTCAAGTGGGAGAAGCACAGCGCTCAGAAGCGGGTTTAAAGCCCCCGACGCGCTGCAGTGTGGGCCCGCCCACGCAAGCCAGTTGCCATCTCGCTGACTCTGGGGGTCCTGAGCGTTACGAGTCGTTGAAAGCCCTTTAATTGCATTTAATTAACAAAGTCTTGTCACTAATTTAATTTTAAGTCCCTTTATTGTTGGCCGGGGGCGTCTCCGTGGGTCGATGCTGTTGGGCTGCGAAGCCTCGCAAGCGCAGCGGACTCTGGGGAAGCAGCAGCAGCACTTCTTTGTCCCTTGCCGGGCTTAGCTGCTGCATTTGGGCCCTACTTTCTCCTAGGGGAGTTGCGCTAAAGAAGGCCCTGCTGCTGCTGCTGCTGCTGCAGCCGGTGTGCTGCTGGATCCTCCTGGAACGCAACGGCCTCTGCAGCAGCAGCAGCAGCAAACTGAGTTTTGGCCCCAGAGGATGCAGACGGAAGGCAGCAGTGCGCCGAAGCGCTCCCGGCGGGCCCGGCGGCGGGCGAAGTCCAGCAATGAGGCGGCAGCAGCAGCAGCGGCAGCAGCAGCAGCACCTGCTGCAGCAGCAGGCCCCGCAGCAGCTGCAGCAGCAGCACCAGCAGCAGCTGCAGCAGCAGCCCCAGCAGCAGCAGCCCCAGCAGCGCTGTCCCTGAGGTGCGCAGGCCCCGCTGCTGGCCCTCCCGCCGGCCCAGGGGCCCCCGAGGCCCCCAAGCCGGAAGAAGCTGTGGGGAGAGAAAGCGCTGCTGCTGCTGCTGCTGCTGCTGCTGCTGCTGCTGCTCCGAGTTTGCTGCCGATGGTGGCGACGCCGCTGGCGCGGCGCTTGCTGCAGAAGCTGCAGTGGGCCTACGAGGCGCAGCGCAGCGGCGTGAGGCCCCCCGTGCTGCTGCACGGATTTCCGGGCAGCGGCAAAAGCTCTTATGTGCGCTGGCTGGCCCACTTGGCTGGGCTAAAGGAGCCCCCTGTGAGTTTATTTCTGGACCAGCAGACGGAAGCAAAGGACCTCGTTGGTGAGCCCCTAGCGCCCCTGGCAGCGGCGTGCTGCTGCTGCTGCCGCTGCTGCAGCTGCTGCTGCCGCTGCCGCTGCTGCAGCGGCTGCTGCAGCGCCGGCTGCGCCCGCTGCTGCGGCTGCCGCTGCTCCCGCAGCGCCGGCTGCGCCCGCTGCTGCAGCTGCTGCTGCAGCTGCCGCTGCTGCTGCAGCTGCCGACGCCGCCGCTGCTGCTGCAGCGGGGAGAGCGCTGCAGCGGACTGGCTGTAGCCACACGGACGCGCTCTTTGTGTCTTCTGCGGCGAACGGTCTGCTGCTGAAGAGCTGCAGCAGACAGCCGGCGGGGCTGCAGCTGCTTCATTTATTTTCTTTTATTTTCTTTTTTATTTTCTTTTTTTTTATTTTCTTTTTATTTGCGTCAGGGACTTGGGTCTGCGGCCGCCGCGCGGGGGAGTTTGAGTGGCAAGAGGGCATTTTGCTGCGCTGCGTCCGCCAGGGCCGCTGGGTGGTAATAGAGCAGCTGCAGCAGCTGGCTCAGGACGTGCATGCGCTGCTGCATGCGTTGGCAGCAACGGGAGTTCTCACAGTTCACGAGCAGCAGCAGCAAATCAAAGCTCACCCCAACTTCGCCCTCTTCGCGACGCTCGCTGCAGCGCCGCCGTTGCTGCGCCCGCCTGCTGGCCGCGCAGCAGCAGCAGCAGCAGCAGCAGCAGCAGCAGCAGCAACAGAGGAGACGTTGGATGTCTCCTTGACGGCGCCGCCCCCCCGCCTGCCGCCGCTGCTGGCCTCTTGGGTGCTGCTGCATGTGCCTTCTCCCTCAGCAGCAGATGTTTTGCAAATAGTGAAGACTGTGTTTCCTTTTGTGTCCCCTGCTGCGCACGCGCTGCAGCGGGCCTTCCGTGCTGCAGCAGCAGCAGCAGCAGCAGGTCTCTCACGGCCGGGGCAGCCGCCGCCCAGGGCTGTGCGGCTGCCGCAGCTGCGGGACTTCCTGAAGCTCTGCAGGCGGCTCGACAAGCTCGCGAGAAGCAGCAGCAGCAGCAGCAGCAGCAGCAGCAGCAGCATGTTTGAGGGCTACTTGACGGACGGCGTGAAGCTGCGCATTGTGGAAGAAGCCGCAACTGTGCTGCTGGGCCACCTGAGCGACCGGCTGCTGCGGCTGCGTGCTGCTGCTGCCTTTGGCCGCGAGTGGGGTGTCAGTGAAGAACAAGTGGAGGCCCTTTTGTTTGGCCAGAGGCCCACAGTCACTGACACGCCGGAGGCCTTAAGTGTGGGGCCCTACCTCTTGCCGAAGCTTTGCAGGCCGGCGCCGGCGGCCTGTGCAGCCCCCGAGGACGTCTTCGCCGCAGCAGCAGCAGAGCCGGCAGCAGCAGCAGCAGCAGCAGCGGGGGAGCCTGCTGCTGCTGCTGCTGCTGCTGCTGCTGCTGCCGGCAAGGCAGGAGGCTCTGGCTGGCTCACGGGGCAGCAGCTGCGGCTGGTGCAGCAGGCTGCGGGGGCGCTGCTGGCTGGAGAGCCGCTGCTGCTGGTGGGCGACACCGGCGCAGGCAAAACCTTCATAGTGTCTTACTTGGCGCAGCAGCTGGGGGTGGGGTTGGTGGTGATAAATCTGCACCAGCAAAGTGAAGGCGAGGACTTGCTGGGCCGCTGGGTCCCCAGGCACCCCCCGCAGGAGGCTGCTGGGCTTTGGCGGCAGCTGCTGCGCATTGGCGAGCTCATGCTGGGGCCCCTGGGCCAGGAGGGGCCCCCGCAAGGGGCCGAAGCAGCAGCAGCAGCAGCAGCTGCTGCAGCGGCTGCTGCAGCTGCTGCAGGTCAAAAGTCAGGGAGGGATGGGGAGGGGGATGGCCCTCAGGCGAAAAAACGGAAGCAGCAAACTGAGACGGGCAACAGCATTATAGAGGCATCTAGGCAAATGCTGCTGCAGGCACGGAGAATTGGCTCGCGGCTGCTGCAGCGGGAGGCATATGTGGCGCTGCTGCGGCTGGCCGCAGCAGCAAACACTGCCCTGCTGCAGCTGCTTAGGAAGCGGGGAGATATGCTGCCTGTCGTGCGGACGCCGCAGCAGCAGCAGCAGCAGCAGCAGCAGCGTGCAACAGCAGGTGAGCTGCTGGCGCGCTGCACTGAGCTGCAAACTTCTGTGTCAACTCTACTTGAAGATCCAGCCCTGGCGGACTGCAGCGCAGCGACTCCTCGCAAGTTTGAGTCTTTGTTGGATGCATGCGGCTTGAGGGGCTTCTTGCCGCGGAGCGGGGGCTGCGGAGCAGCAGCAGCAGAGGCAGCAGCAGAAGGAGCAGCAGCAGCACCCGGCGCAGAAGCAGCAGCAGCACACCCGAGACGCCGCTGTCAGCTGCACTTCGCCTTCACAGAGGGGCCTCTTGTTGAAGCCGTGAGAACGGGACAGTGGCTTCTGCTGGATGAAATCAACTTGGCTCCTCCCGACTTGCTGCAGCGGCTGCTGGGGCTGCTGGACGAGCCTGAGGAGCCGCTGCTGGTGCTGGAGGGGGGCAAGCCGCGCCGGGTGTACAGACACCCCAACTTCCGAGTCTTCGCCTGCATGAACCCGCCCACCCTCGCGCCCCCTCTCCGACTCGCAGAACACAAGCTGGAGTTCGAAGACGAGAACGAACCGCCCTCTGCAGACGGCCCTGACCAGCAGCAGCAGCAGCAGCAGCAGCAGCAGCAGCAGAGGGCTAAGGCGGCGTCTGCAGAAGGGTCTGCGGCTGTGGGCAAGCGGGAGCTTCCGGCTGAAGTGCGGCAGCGGTTCACAGAGCTGTTTGTGGACGACACAGACGGGCTAGAGGACATAACAACAATAGTGGATGCGCACTTGCGGCCTTTGAGCGCCGACCCTCCCTCTCGCCTTGTGGCTGAGGTGTACATACACCTGAGGTACTTGGCAGAGGCAGGGCAGATCCTAGATGGCAACAACAAAACTCCTTGCTACTCTCTGAGAACCTTATCTAGAGCTTTACAGCACGCAGCAGCCGTGGCCCAGCGCCGGCTTCGCCCGCTGCAGCTACGTGCTGCACTAAGGGAGGGCTTTGCTGCTCTCTTCGGCTCTTCGCTGAGCCCCCACAGCGCGTCCAGAGTCGAAGAAGTCCTGGCGAAAGCGCTGAAGGAGCCGCGGCTCCAGAGGCCTACAGGGAGTGCGGCATGCAGTGTAGATAGGGCAGCCTCACAAGCTGCACGAGGTGTGGGAGCTGCTGCTCCGCCCCTGGATCTGCAGCTGCTGCCCACGCCGCCTGGAGAACACCCCCAAGTTTCCATTGAGGGCTTTATTGTGCGCAGAGGTGAGCCAAGGAACGCTTCTGCATGCAGACAGCAGCGGGCTCTTTCCTGTGCTGCCTTCTGTCGTGTAGTTTTTCTCGAGTCGAATACAGAAAGAAAGAAACAGTTCAGAGGCATAATGCCATTTGGTAGCGCATCTTTCTTTGATCTGTTGCGCTCTAAGCTTATCTTTGTTCGTGTCTGCTGCTGCTGAATTTGTTTATGGCGCATTTGTATGGTCTTTTATTATTGTTACTGCGGTAGCTGCCTGTGCATTTGTGCTTCCTAGGTGACGAGCCGATAGCTGTAGAGACACTGAAGAAGAGTTTCGTAATGACGCCGCGGTCTGCGGTGTACGTACGCCGTGTGGCTCGGCTGCTGAGCGGCAGCCGCTGCGCGTTGCTGCTGGAGGGCCCCACATCTTGCGGAAAGACATCTTTGGTGTCTTTTCTGGCGGCTGCTACTGGGCACAAATGCGTGAGAATAAACAATCACGAAAATACTGACATTCAGGAGTACGTTGGCAGCTACGCCCCAGACCCACACGGCAGACTTGTCTTCACAGAGGGGCCGCTGACTCTGGCGGTGCGCCACGGCTGGTGGGTTCTGATTGACGAGCTGAACCTCGCGCCCTCCGAAGTCCTAGAGGGTAGGGCCCGTTGCTGCAGCAGCAGCAGCAGCAACAACAGCAGCAGCAGCAGCAGCGAATAGGCTGGGTTGGACTTCGTTTGAGCCTCGCTGCCAGCTGCAGTTCAGAAAAAAGAACAGAAGCAGCGGGGTTGTAGTGCGTAACGCCGCTGCTGTTGCTTGTTGCTGTTGCTGCAGCTCTCAACCGTCTCTTAGACAACAACCGCGAGCTGGTCTTGACCACAACTGGCGAAGTCATAAAAGCCCACAGCGACTTCCAGCTGTTCGGGACTCAGAATCCAGCGGGTCTTGGGGTTTACGGGGGCCGCAAGATGCTGAGCAAGGCCTTAGCCAATCGTTTTTTGCAGCTGGAGATTGAGGAGTTGGGCGAAGACGACCTCCGACTCATTCTCATGAACAAATGCAAACTCCCCTCTTCCAGGGCAGAGCCCATGCTGCGCGTCTACAGGGACCTGCAGCAAAGAAGAGCCAACAGCTCAGTAAGCCGCGAGCTGTTCTCGCTGCTGCAGCAGCTTTGCCTGCCTTTTTTGTCTCTGCTTAGCTTGTTTGCGTGCGGGCGCGGTACTGTTTATGTGATCCTTTTCTAGTGTTGGACACAACTTTCTCAAGGATAAATGTCTCCTTCTCTCTCTCTTTCTCAATGCTTCTTCTCTCTTAGTGTCTGTTTGCTTTCTTTTGCCTTGTATTTTGCTATCCATCTTTGTCGCCTTCTCTCTTTCTCAATGCTTCTTCTCTCTTAGTGTCTGTTTGCTTTCTTTTGCGTTGTATTTGTTTTCCCGCTCACGGCTCTGCCGTTTTCCGTGATTTTTGTGCAATCTTTTTTAGGTGTTTTTCGGCTCTCATGGTTTCATGACCATCCGCGACTTAATTAGGTGGGGACGGCGCGTGGGGAACTCTCCTTTCCAGGAGCTCCTTCATAACCAGCAGCAAAACCAGAAGCAGCAGCAGCAGCAGCAGCAGGAGGTTCGTGAGTACGCACCCACGTCGCTGGAGGAGGTCGCGCTGGAGGGGTGGCTGCTTGTGGGTGAGCGGCTGCGCACTGAGGAGGAGAGGGCCACAGTGCGCCAGTCTTTAGAAAAACACTGTCTCAACTCAACTCCAGCAAAGCCTAAACAGTTGCTTGTGGATTATGCAACGGATCCATATGTTGCTGCCTTCCGCCGACTGCTGGACAGAAAGATTGAGTGCTGCATGCAGCAGCAGGCTGCGGCTGCTGCAGCTGCTGCGGAAGCAGCTGCTGCAGCACAGAGAGCGGCTGCGCTTGACGCCGGCCCGGAAAGGGAACGATTGGAAGCCGAGGCTGCTGCAGCTGCCTCAGAAGCAGCAGCTGCAGCAGCAGCTGCAGAGCTTCCCCCTTTCCTTCCGTTTTCCTTCAATAATGCCTCCTTCAGGTTACTGGCCCTTACGCTGAGGGCCCTTGCAGCCTCTGAAAGTCTTCTTTTGATTGGAGACACAGGGGCTGGGAAAACTGCCGTGTGCGAGTTAGTGGCTTGGACCCTGCGGCAGCGGCAGCAACCGCCGCAGCAGCAAGACCAGCAGCAGCAGCAGCAGCAGGGCCAAGAGCTAGAAGACTTGCTGCGACAGCGTTTGTATCCAAGTGGTATGTATGTCTACAACTGCCACTTGCAGATGGAGGCATCGGAGCTATTGGGTTGCATGACTCCGGTTCACCAGGGCGAGCTGCAGCAGCAGCAGCAGCTTGCTGCTATGGTGCAGACTGAGGTTCTTCGCATGCTGGAGCAGCCACCAGACCCAGACGAGCTGCTGCCTGACTGGAAGCAACGCGAGCAAGCAGCAGCAGCAGCAGCTGCTGGAGATGCAGCCGCAGCAGGGACATCTGAAGCAGCAGGAGCAGTAGAGAGGGGCAGCTCGTCGCGTGAGCTGCTGCTGCGGTTCTATGAACTGCTGCAGTCGGAAGCAGCAGATGTGCTGATCTGCTTGAGGGCCGAAAGATACCGTATAGATGACAGTGCTGCAGCGGATGAAGAAGATGCCAGCCTCTTTTCAAGGGCCCTCAACAGGGCCACCAAGAACGCTCAACAGCAGTTACTTAAAGAGACACAGGAAGCAGCAGCAGCAGCAGCTGAGAAAGAAACGGAACTGAGTGAGCAGCTTCAGGCAGCCAAGCAAAAGCTGCAGCAAAAGCAATGCCTGCAGCAACAGCTGCAGCAACAGCTGCAGCTGTACCAAGATCAGCGGCAACGTGAGGAGCAGCAGAAGATCACCGACGACGGCGACGCCAGTGAGGCTATGCAGCAGGAGCAGCAACAGCAGCTGCAGCAGGGGAGTACAGCAGCACGAAAACGACAACGCAAAGGGGTCAGAAATCGTGCAGCAAAGGAAGCAGCTGGCGTTGCTGCTGCTGACTCTCAGCAAGTTGCAGAAGCAGCACAAAAGAGACGCCGAAAGGCAACAGAAAATGTAGAGACTGCAGCAGCAGGGGCAGGAGAAGCACGGACAACCTATGGGGACAAGCAGGCTGCTGAGCCAGCAGCAGCAGCTCATGCTGCTTCTGCCAGCGACGTTGATGGTGAAGAAGCCGCCGCAGAGGCAGCAGCAGCAGCAGCAGCAGTAAGTGCGGCGGAGGATGAAGTGTCGTTGCGTGCATCAGCCTGTGCTGCTGCTGCAGCAGCGTTTGCAGCTCGCGCTGCTGCTAGCGAGACTGCTGCTGCACTAGTAAACCGGTTCTGCGAGCTGCTGCGGCAGCGCTGTGCTGCGTGGCTGGCAGCATGCAAGGGGACCCGCCGCCTGTTCTGCTGGCGTGATGGACCATTGGTCAGGGCCATGCGCGAGGGGGCCTTCTTTCTTCTTGACGAGGCCTCCCTAGGCCAAGACGCAGTTTTAGAGCGGCTGAACTCAGTGCTTGAGGACGGGCGGCACCTGCTGCTGACAGAACAGGGGGCAGCAGGAGCAGCAGCAACGGGCGAAACAGCTGATCGTGACGCAGAAGCAGCAACAGGGGCCCCTGCAGCAGCAGCATCGGCGGGGGTAAGCGTAGAAGCTGCTGCAGGCTTCCGCTTCATTGCAACAATGAACCCTGGAGGGGACTATGGCAAGCGCGAGCTGTCCCCGGCTTTGCGCAACCGCCTGACGGAGGTGTACGTACCGGCCTTCAGCTTCCAGGCCCCAGACGCTGTGCTGCTGCTGCTGCAGCGCCTCCAGCACACGTGTGTCCGCGGCCTGTGTCTGCCGCATGCAGCAGCAGCAGCTGCGGGAACCAGCGAAAAAAAGACGGGGGAAGCGACTCAAATGCAGCAAGAAATCACATTGTTGTTGCAACAGCAGAAGCAGCAACAGCAACGAGAAGGCAGCGCCGAGGACTTGCCTCTCAACTTACTGGCTGCGCGCCTGCTGCTTGTGCTGCGGTGGGTGAGACAGTACATTAAGCAGCCGCTCTCCATTCGTGATGCATTTTGCTGGATTTGTTTTATCCACAGGTTTGTAGCTTCCAATCTGCGGCAACCAGCAGCAGCAGCAGCAGCACCTGCTCCAGCAGCTGTAGCAGCAGCTGCTGCTCGGTGGGCGGTGCAGGGTTTCATACATGGGGGGTGCCTGCTGCTGCTGGATGGCCTGGGTGTAGGGGCAGAGCTGCAGTTATCGCAGCAGCAGCTTCAGGAGTTGGCGGATGACTATGTAAAGGCTGAGATAGACCTCAGCAATGCGCATGCTCTGCATGCACCCCAGCAGCAGCAGCAGCAAGTGCAACAGCGGCTTCAGCTGCTCCAGAAACAGCTGCGGCAGCAGCTCGAGGAAGCTGTGACGCAGCCACAGAGAAGGCCACATCTAGGCATTTTGCTGCTTCTAAAAGCGCATGCTTGCCGCCTTTACCGCGAGCTTGGCCTCTCCAGATACAACGAACTGCCTCAGCAGCAGCAGCGACCCCAGCAGCACGATATGACAGGCCCTTTTTGGGAGACGACGTGTTCTTCATTTGATGAAGACGGGTTTGCATGGGTCTCTGCTGCTCTGACTGATGAGAAACTAAGTGGAAAAGAAGCAGAGGCGGCGCTGGAAGTGGGTCCTTTCAGCCTTGCCGCTTTCAAGCAGGTCCAGCAGCAGCAAAGCCTGCGGCAGCAGCAGCCGAACGAGGAGGGGCTCCCGGAAGTCGTGAAGTCGCCGTCCGTAAGGAAGTCTCTAGGAAGGCTGCTGCGTTGCTTGCTGCTAATCCAGCAGCAGCAGCAGCAGCAGCAACAGGGCAAGCTGGCGTCAGGACTAGGGGGCCTCGGCAGCAGCTCTGGGCGGCACGCGGTGCTGTTGGAGGGTCCCCCAGGGGCCGGCAAAACGTTTGTAGTGGGCCTTCTGGCGCGGCTGTGTGGACGTCGTCTTGTGCGAATCAATTTGAGTGAAGACACGGAGCTCGCGGACCTTTTAGGAGCTGTTGTCCCTAGCGCAGAAGTAGAAGAAAGCTACGAGGCTGAGGGCTCCCCAGAGGCCGCCACGCAGCGACAGAAAAAGCCTCCTTTTGTGTAAGTCAGTGCATTCAGCAGCGGCTTAACCCACCTCCCCTGAGGGCAAGGTCTGTATTAGCTTTTTGTGTCCCACGTGTTCAACGCTAGCCGCCAGCAGCCTGAAAATTGAGATCAGCACTTTCATGCGTGCACACACGCGTGCATGCATGCGTGTCTGTTTTAATGAATTTTGCGTGGGGTGTGTGTGCACTCGCTGGGCAATGTTGGGGCTTCTTAGGTGGACTGACGGAGTGCTGACCCGCAACCTGCGTGCGGGCAATTGGATTTTGCTGGACGAGCTGAATTTGGCGCCGCAGCAGACGCTGGAGGGCCTTAACCCGCTGCTGGACCACAGGCGCTGTGTGTACTTGCCGACCCCAGAGGATCCTCTCAGTACCAAGAACAAAGACGCAGCAAACAAAGACGCAGCAGCAAAAGCTGGAGGGACAGAAGCAGCAGTAGCTGGAGGGGAAGCAAACAAGGGAGCTGCTGTCTATGCACCTCCAGGGTTTGTTCTCTTCGCCACGCAGAACCCTCACGCGACAACAGCAGCTGCTGGCGTTCAGACAACAAGACGCACAAGTGCAAATAACAAATGCGTTATGGAAGACGATGAGGAAGAGACTGTTGCAGATTTGCTGCGTCTCCTTGGACTGCCGGAGAGCCTCGAGGGCACAGCCTTTAAACGGCACAGCAGCAGCAGCGGCAGCAGCAGCAGTGGCGGCAGCAGCAGACCCTGCAGCAAAGCTGTGGAAGGCAGGAAAGGCCTTCCTCAGTCCCTTTTAAATCGCTTTTGTAGAGTGCGCGTCGATGAAATGCTCGAGTCGGACATGATCGCCATCGCCCACAAGCTCCTAACCTGTCTGCAGAGCAAACAGGAGCAGCAGGAAGAGCGGCAGCAACAGCAGGGACAGCAACAGCTTCGGCAGAAGCAACGGGAGGAACAGCAGCAGCTTCCAAAAGAAGGGACGCGTGAATCGGCTCTGGCTCTTGCTAAGGAGCCCCAGCTGGGGCTGCTGCTAAGTGCATGCTTTGTCCGCTGTGTTCGTTTGTTGGGGCAGCTGGCCTTAGAAAGACCTTTTCAGGGCCTGGGCGATACCGTCTTCAACTTGAGAGACGTCATGCGGGTTGTCAGGCTTTTCGCAAACAAAGTAAATTGTGCTGCTGCTGCTGGTGTTGCTGTGGGTGCTGCTGCTGTTGCTGCCGCTCTTGCACGGTACAGGTGGCCTGTGTATTGAAATTCCAAAATGCTAGTTAGGGGTTTGGCAGCTCAGAGACTCATGGGGTAGGAAATACAGCGGCTCAAGAAGGCTAGAATGGAGTTTAAAGGGAAATGGACATGGATTTGCTAAGACAACTAAATTAAATCGGTAGCCTGTGGGCATTTGTGTAAACTTGCTGTTGATGTGCATGCGCTCAGCTGCCCTCAGCAGACCCGCGGTCTGCTGCGGCTGTGGCGTTGCTCTCGCGATTGAGGATTTCAGACGATGTGCAAGCAGCGGCTTCTGTGCTGCTGCTCTGCTTCCCGCCGCGGCTGATGGAGCTGCTGCAGGCGCGCAGGCAGCAGCAGCAGCAACAGCAACAGGAGGAGTTCCTCGTAGACGCTGTTGCTGCGCTGCTGTGCCCAGCAGTGGCGCCCGTAGCCGTGCTGCGCTCAGTGCAGCCGCAGCTGCTGACAGCCAGCAACAAGCTTTCGCTTCTGGCCGGAGGGCAGCAGCCTCTTGATTTATTCGTAAGGGGTGCAACTGTTTCTCTAGGAAACATGGTGCTGACTCAGCTCTCCCAGCCTGCTGAAGGTCCGCAGCAGCAGCAGCAGCACCCGAAGCAGCACAAGTTGGCCAGCGGATTGCTGCTGCACTCACAAAGGTCCTGCATGTCAGCAGTGGCAGCAGCCTTGGCAGCAAACTTTCCAGTGCTGCTGACTGGAGAGAGAGGCGGAGGTAGGAGCTTGTGTCTTTGTGCCTGCCTGCTGGCTAGCCCCCTTTTTTTTGCTTTTGCCTCTATTTCGTCCCTTGGTTCTTCTCTTTGCGTTTGACTCCGCCTGTGCGCCTGCGTTTATCCCTGCAGCAATTTTTGTTTTTGAGTCTGTCTTCTCGCTGTTTCTCTGTGCGCGACTGAGTCTTAGCATTCTGCTGCTGCTGTCGACATCCCCGCCGCGTCTTCTATTGCTTCCTTGCGCATGCTTTGCTTGCTTTTGTCTTTGTTTGTGCCTCAGGGAAAAGCAGCATTGTGCGGTGGCTGGCTGCAGCATGGGGCTCTGAGCTGTGCGAGGTGCAGCTGGCGCCCTCAGTAGACACTTCAGACTTGCTTGGAGTGTACAGACAGATACAGCCGAAACACAGACTTCTTCAGGCAGCTCGAGCAGCAGACGAAGTTGCAGAGGCGCTTCAACGACAGCTATGCCGAAGCACGGTATCGACACGAATGCAGCAGCAGCAGCAACAACAGGGGCAGAAGCAGCAGTGGAGGAATGGCATTGGTGGGGATCCGGCGAAGCAACTTGGAGACCTTCGAGCCTTTGCTGCTGCTGCAAAGGAGAAACTGGTGGAGGCAGTGGACGCAGAGGCTGCTGCCTGTGCCACAGCGGACGGGCCAAGAGCAGCTCCTGAAGCGCAGCAGCAGCAGCAACTGCAACAACGGCTTGCTGAGGAGACTGCAGCACTGCTGAATGCGTGCGAAAAGGCTGCGACTACTCTCTGCAGTGGACTGTCTGGTGACATAGATGGCAACTCACCATCAACAGCAACGATAGCAGACTTTGCTGCTGTACAGCGGCGTCGCCAGCAGCGAGCTTGGCGGCTTCTCTTCCAGGGCTGCACTCTCGCCGGCCTGACGCGCTTTTTGGAATCGGTTTCATCATCCTCTGCTGCAGCAGCTGCTGCTGCTGCTGCATGTTGCCAAGAAGAAATGAGTCAGTTTGAGTGGGTGGACAGCGCTCTGGTTGCTGCTGTTCGTAAGGGGCAGTGGCTGCTGCTGCGAGATGCCCACCTGTGCAATGCTTCTGTCCTGGACAGGCTCAATGCGCTGCTAGAGGACGGGGGGTCCCTTCTGTTGACTGAAGGTGGAGCTCCAAGAGAAGTCAAAAGGCACCCCAACTTCCGCATTCTACTGACAGCAGAGGCAGCCAACACGCATCTCCTATCTGCAGCACTGAGAAACAGGTGCTGCGAGATCTACGTGCATCCCCCAGGCACACCAGCAGCAGGAGCTTCTGCTGCTGTGGCTGCAGAGCAGCAATCCCGAGCTGCGGCCGCGGCCACAGCAAAAAACAGTGGAGCAAAAGATAGACCAGGGGCGGCGACAGAGTTGAGCGCAACAGAAGTGCCAGAGGCACGGCAGCCGCTGCTTCTCCAGGGGCTGACTGAGCAACTTTTGCAGAACCTTGCAGCTCTTCTGAAGGGCTGCGGGGCTCCAAAAGCAGCAGAATCAAGTGAAAATAGTGCCCTTGAGTTGCTGCTTTCTCGATGGTCCTACTCATTATTTGCTGCTGACTCAGAGCTAACTGCAGATGGAGGGGAGGATACAGAGGTTACAAAAGCTGCTGCAACTCTGCAGGTCGCAGGAGCGTTTGTGGCGTTTTGTCTCAACAGCGCGCAACTTCTTGCCAGCACCGGCGTGAGCAGCACTGAGAGTACTTACAGCAGCAGCATTTGCAACCCGAGGCTCTGTCCGCTTCTGCTGCAGGACAGCTATCGTCTTCTTTTGGCAGGAGATGCAGGATATCTTTCCCCGGCTGCTGCAGAAGTGATGGCGCTGCAGCACACAGCAATGCAGCTGCTGCTGCAGCTGCTTGGTGACGAAGCCGCACTGTCGCTTTTTGCACATCATCTCCAGAGCTTTTTGTCTGATAATCCGCAACACCACCAAGCCGATGTGGAGAACCAGCAGCAGCAGGAGCTGAAGCAGCGACTGCAGCAGCAAGTTGTCAAGGACCTGCAGAGCCTCAAAGACACTTTGGGGGTTGATGCTATTGCTGTTGGATTTGCAGGGCTGCAGCGCCTCGCACGCGGAGTCGCAGCAAAGAGCGGCAAAGATGCAACAGCAGCAGCGGCAGCAAGCTGGAGATGCCTGCAAGGATGGGGCAGCGCCTACGCTGCCTCCCAAGCCCAAACTGCTTCTAATAGAAAGCCTGAAGCAGCACCAGCAGCAGCAGCCGCACCGCTAGAGTCAGAGCGGCGCCGTGAAATATGCTTAGACCATCTTTTTCAGTGCTTCCTGTGGCAGTACACGGCAGCTCTCGACTCGTCAGCCACCTGGCGGCTGCTGCTGCTGCACATGCTTGCCGCATGCTGCTGCTGCTGTTCGCCTTCTGCATCTGAGGAAGCAGTCCAATCATCATGCGCAATTCAGGAGAAAAAACACCACAGCAGCAGAAGCGGACGCAAGGGGCTGCTGCAGAGCAGCGACTGGGAGGTCCTGCGCGGGGCTGTAGAGCGACACCTGCTGCACCAGAAGTGCAGCGGCCACAGCTGCAGCAGCATTGGCGGTGCAATATTATGGGCATCCGTTGCATGCGAAGTTTCTTTCGTGGAGAGTGTGTTTGCTGTTTGCGCTGAGAAAGCCGATGAAGGGCTGCCGCTGCTGGCTGCTGCTCTGCGTCTCTTTTTGTGGGGAGCAACTGACGACAAGGATCTCTTGCATCGTGTGCAAGTACTTGAGCAGATGCAGAAGCAACAGCAGCGGGGCGGCCCTGCTGCGCAGTATCTTGAAGCTGCATGTAGCGCCTTGCGTGACGTTGCAGAGGAGCCTATTCTTCTGCCTGCAGCGGCTGCAGACGCAGCAGCAGCAGAAGCAGCAGAAACATGTGGTAGTGCTGTTGCCCATCTCCATGGTCAGTCTCTGCTATATGCAGCAGGGCGCCTGCTAGAAACAAACTGGGCCCCTACCCGGTCTAAGCGGCTCCCCACAAAGGACAGTAGTGATGTGCAAGAGCAGCAACGGCAGCAGCTGCGCCATTTATTGCTCCAGAATCTCATATATTTGCAGCGCGTGGAGTGCATGGCTATGCTGCTGCCTCAGCGGTTGCTGCTGCTGAATACGCAAGCGAGTAACAGCACGGCTGCGGCAAGGAAGTGCCCTTGCTGCAGTTTGAAAGGGCTGGAGGCTTCTTGGTGTCTTTTATTTGCATGCATCAGCTCGGCAGATCAGGAGGAGGCGTTGATGCAACCTGAAGAAGCCAACGCAACTGCTGCAGAGGTAATGCGCCATCTGTTTGACGGCCTTAGGCAACTGGCAAGCCCCACTTTGACAGCAGCAGCCGGCGTGCTGCGTGCGCGGCTGGCCACTGCAGCAGAACCTGCTGCTGCTGCTGCTGAGGCTCTGTTTAATGGGCTAAAGGAACAGTGCAGGCATCTTGCGCGCTGTTTCAGCGCCTGGGTGGCTCTTCTCCAGTTATTGTCCCTTCCGCTCTGTGGGCGGTGCCAGCACATAGGCGAAGCAACGCCGCACAGCACCAGCAGCAGTAACAGCAGCGATAGCAGGAAATGGAGACCGCTGCCTGGGACTCGCGATAAGATGCGGAAGCTGCTGGAGGCTCTTGGAGCGTCAGTGTCTCTCCGGATTGATATGTTCGTAGAGAGCCTGCATGCATTTGTAGCGTCAAGTGACTCTGCAACTTCCGCAATTAGATATCTCAGGGGACACGAGGACTTAAAGTCAGCTGCGACCGCTGAAGCAACAGCAGAGTTTGTTGCTGCTGAACTTATTTCGCCTTTACAGCTTATGCAGGGAAAATTCACTTGTGCAAGCGGCTCCATAGGCCTGCCGGTTTTGGCAGAGGAAGCAGAAAATGATTTGCTCCAGCCGTTTGAGAAACAGCCGCAGCATCTTTCACTGCAACAGCAACGCCCCGTAAAGCTGCGAGCAGCAGGTGGGCTGTGGGGCACAGAGTTGCAAGGTGCTGCTTGGCCCTGCAGCAGGTGGAAGTGTTTGGTGCCTGTCCAGCTGGGGCAGCACGAGGCCCGAACTGTTCAAGGTTGGCTGCTGCGCGAGTTGCTCAATGCAGCAGTTCTTCGCATTTCTTTATCTGTGGATTCCGCAACAGCAGCGGCAGAAGCAGCAGGCCTAGCAGCAGCAGAAGCAGCTGGTTCGACAAATCAGACTATGTCCTTGATAAGCGCAGAGCAGCAAGGAGCTTTGCTGTTTCGCCGGTTTGCATGCACAGCCCCGTCTTTAGGTCTAGCTGTCGACTTGCTGCTGCACACAGGAAGCCCTTCAGAGGGTAGCATCGTTCAGTACGCCTCTGAACAAGAACAGCAGCAGCAGCAGCAGCGGCTGCCACAGCCGCGTGCGCTCCTGCTGCATGCGTCTGCGCTGCATGCGCTGTTGCTGAGCAGCTGCTTACTGCGGGCCGAAGGCCGTACAGAGGCAGCGGAGCGACTAGAGACTCGTGTGTGCGATACGCTGTTACCTTCGTACGAGCCAAAGACAGGAGTGACTGCTGCTGCTGCTGCTGCTTCGTCTTTGCTGGTGAGCAAGAGGCAACGCAGAGCCGCAGCTCTGCGTGCAGCTGCTGCTGCATTGGGGCTGCTTGACAGCCAACATCAGCACTGGGTTTGTCTTAGCAGCACGTCCATGGTCTCAGTCAGTTTGCTGCAGGCGCAGTTAGCAGCTGCTGGTGCAGTTCTGCTGGGGGTGCAGCAAGCAGGGGAGTTGCTGCTTCTGCATCTATGTATGTACTCAAACGTTCATGGTAATGATGCTTCTGTTGCTGCTGAGCTTCCAAACCATGTTGCTGCTGCAGCGCTGGGCTCGGCACTGCAAAAAGCTGTGCAGATGCAGCTGCAGCAACAGCAGCAGGAGCTGCTGCCTGTTTTTTCTGTTCCCGCTGCGGCCATCTCGGCTCTACATTTTGGAGATGCGTCAAGTGCATGCAGCAACTCTTCTATGGCAGTGCCGGTGCCTCCGTCTCTTCTGGAAGCACCCGCCGTTTTCACAACCAGCGTCTGGGAGCAGCAGCAGCAGCAGCGAGTGCCTGCGAAGCAGCAGTTCGGTGGAAGCATGTATCAGCATGCAGCTCACGTTGTTGCATGCGCCGCCGTAGAGGTTCTGTCTTTGATGTGGCGGACGGAATTGGACATACAGTGCAACGATGCATTCGGCCTGAGACGTGTGCTGCACCTGCAGCAGCAGCTTCAAGATCTGCGTCCAGCTGGGAAAGATGCAAAAACTGGGCTAGATGCAGCAGCACTAGCGACAGGTGCAGGTTTAGAACATTCCGTGGCTTTGCTGCAGCCGCAGGCCTTGGGTCGTCTTGCAGAAGTAGCCGGCGGAATGCGGGGTGCAGCCGCAGCAGCAGCAGATGCCCATCGCGCTGCCTCAGGACCCCTGCTGCGGAGCAGGCATCTGCGAGCGGGTCTTCTTGAGACAATGGCTGGGGAGAGCGCTTGCACGTGCACTGCACGAATTGTTCTTGAAATACAAGAGCACGCGACTGTCTCTTCAGCAGCAGGTTGTTTCCTGGTGCTGCAGCGGCTGCGGCGGCAGCTGCAGCGCAGAGACAGGCACAGCAGAGGCGCAGGCAGGCTACTGTCGGTAGGTGCCTCAAAGGAGACATTGGAAGAATTGGACAAGAAAGAGCTCGCACTGGATATGAGCAAGGATTACCCTGCAGCAGCTACAGCAGCTGCTGCTGCACAGTGGGCAGCAGTGTTCGGTTTCGCTGCAGCGCTTTGGTCATTCTGTTCCTGCTTTAGCAGCAGCGGAGACGCTGGGGAAAGAAACTGGAAAAAACTGTCTAGGGAGGGAAAACAGGCACCTGAGGACAGCAGCAGAGATAGTGAAGAGACAAAAGCTGTTTTGCATGCAATTAGAGAAGCTTGGTGTGGACTTGCGGGGTTGCTGAGGGGTGGGGCTGCTGCGGATGTTTCAGCAGCAGCAGCATGCTCGACAGCCGCTGCAGCAAAGCTGCGCGCAGCCGTGAAGCGTATGAATGATAGAGTGGAGACTGCAGCAGAGGGACCATCATCTGCTGTTGCCGCTGCTGAGCAAAGTGAAGGAGCAACAAGAGCGCGCAGCTTGGATCCCGGTCGAAGCGCACTTGCCTCTCTGCTGCTTCTTGTGCAGCTGCTAGAGGACTGCGCAGCAGCAAAAGACCCCTTGGTGCTGCTGCAGGGCAGCGGTGGCAAACGACGGCGGGGCCTGCTGCTGCTGGTGCTTGGCAGGTGGGCAGTGCTCACTGCAGCAGCAACAGCTGCAGACCTTCTGCAGCAACGACGGGACGTTATCGCGTGGCGCAGCGCTGTTGAGACAGAATCTGAAAACTATGAGCTGGAGGTAAGATAACATAAGATAGCCGTGTGTTATCTCAGATTCTCATGAGCATTGGCCACAGTGAATGATTCTGTTCAAAAAATATTGCTATTTGTCTTAATCTCGCTGCTGCCTTTGGTGCCACTGCGGCTTCCGTGTACCGCAGAGAGAGGCGCTGCTGCTGCGGGCCGCGGCACTGGATGGCACCGTCGGCTTGCCCTTGGGAATAGGGGGAAGTACATCTGTTTCTGCAGCTCTTGCTGCTGAGGCGGAGACGCATGCTGCTGCGCTTCGGCAGCTGCTGCAGCAGTCTAGCAATGCAGATAGTTTGCTGCAGCAAATATCGCGCTTGCTGCCCGTCCATGCTTCAGACATTCCAGCAGACGTCGCCCGTCGCCTGACATCACAGCTGCTGCCGTCAGCAGCAGCAGCAACAGCAGACACAGAAGCAGTAGGAAAGGACAAAACAGCTGCTGCGCAGCAGCAGGTGCTGGAGCGCATTAGCCGCAAGTGTGTTGTGGAAGCGCCACCCGAGGTGGCACTAGCCAGCTGGCTCGAGGACCTTCTTGAATTTGTGCGAAGCACGCTGGATGCAAAAATGTGCGTTTGCAGACGCGTGAAACTCGCAGCAGCAGCAGCACGGGAAAGAATTGCATAAGTGATGCAGCAACAGCAGCAGCAGCAGCAGCAGCAGCACTTGCTGTGAAAGGGGTTAGCTTCCAGGCGTGTGGCTCATGCCAGCGTTGCCTCCCCATTCGTCTTCCAATATTTTGCGTGTCTGTCTTTGCCTTGTGTTGCAGCTTGATCTCCCTGCTGCCTGAGTTGGAGCCGCTGCTGCGTGAGGAAGACTGCGCCGGGGCAAGTGGCAGGGCCCCAGTGTCTTCTGCTGCATCGGCTTTAAGGACAGCAGCAGAAGCAGCTGCTGCGTGCAGCAGCAGACTCGCTGCATCACACCCCTTCCTCGTTGCTCCTGCTGTTCGAACAGCAACGACGGGTCTCTGGGCAGTTGCAAAGGGCTTTTTAGACACTGCAGCGGCTACAGAGGAGCTACCCCCGCCACAGCATACAGAGCAACAACAGCTAAAAGCGCGGCAACAGTTGCTGCCGACGCCTTCTGTGGCTGTGCTGCTACAGCGAACAGCCGCGTTTCCAGCTGTGCCTTTTGCTGCGATGACGGCGGCCAGTGTCAGTGAGGGGACGAGCGTACTGCAACCGCTGCAGCGAGCTCAGTGGCTTCTTTTGTGGTTGTGTGCCGAAGCAGCAGGAGCTGCAGCAGGAGCTGCAGGAGAAGTTGCAGCGGGAGCTGCAGCAGGAGCCACGAAGAAATCCGTAGAAACAACAGCAAACACCAGTAATAATTTCTCATTGTGCTTCGCTGGTGCACGCGGGTCTCTGGCGCTGTTGCTGCAAGAGATATCACAGCGGCACTTGGCCTGGAGGCGGCAGCAGGAGATCGCCGCAGATGAAACAGCCACGCTGCTGCAGCGCCTTGAGGGCCTCGTGGTTGACCGTGCAGCAGCAGCAGCAGCGGGTAAGAGTAGAGGCGATGCAGAGGCGGCCAAGGAGCTTTTCCCCTGCAGTGCAGAATGGAGGAAAAATGAGCAGCAGCAAGACCAGCTAGAGCTGCAGCAAGAGGAAACGGACCAAGATCGCACGCAGTACACATCATGGTGTAGTCAGAACGTCGCTAACAGAGAAGAAGAAGAAAGTCTAAGGGAGAAGCAGCAGCAGCAGCTCGCGCTACAGCAGCTGGAGGGCCTTACCGAGGCGGACCTGCTGCATCTGTGGGGCCGCGCCGTTGATACAGCCTTTGCCTGGAGCAGCAGCAGCAGCGGCCCACGAGAAGTCGACGGCGAGCTTGCAGCAACAACAGCATACCGCGAGGCACTGACTGTGGGTTGTGCTTTGTTTCGGATTTGCCCCCAGTGACTCAATTTGAATTGAGCTCTGCACAAGTCAAATTGTGTCACCATTAGACATTCGAGAAAAGACTGTGGTGTACGTACAGTGGAGCTGCTGCGCAACCGTAATGTCTCAGTATGATGCCGTTGTGTCTTTTCAGGGCTCGTTCTGCACTTTGCTGCATTTGTACAATGCGGGGACAGCCGCAGTTCCCGCAGGAGGCCCCGAAGCTGCTACGAAAACGGGCGAAGTGGTGGCGCTCCCGGAGCTGGATGGGCCCTGCGCGCCTTACATGCATGCGCTTTTGTCGCAAACTGCTGCGTACATCATAGGTGCCTCGCCACGTCAGCAGCAGCAGCAGGAGCAGCAGCTGAAGCAGCTGCTGCTGCAGGATGAAGAGGCAACATCGGAAAGGCAGCAGCAGAGTGAAGACCCAGAGGCTTCCGAGAAGGGCGAAGAGGCGGATGACGTCGAGCAGCAGCTGCAACAGGAAAGGCTACAGCAGCAACGGGAGCGCGCCCGCAAAATGCGCTTCGCGCAGTTGTGCCGCAGCATTACATCGGCAAGTGGCAGCAGCAGCAAGAGCGGGAGCAGTTCGGCTGCAGCAAGCTCGTTTTATGCTCGCGGGAACCCTGTGCTGCTGCAGCCTATGAGTCGTGCTGTGCAGCAGTTCCAGGAAGCTTCTGTAGCTTTCACTGCAGTAGTAGAAGACCACCCTGTTTTGCAGGGGCTGCTGCTGATATCGCAGCGGGTTGCTTCTCTCAGCCTCCTAAACACTTCTCCAGCCGACGCCCTGGCGGCCCTGGAGGGCCTCCTAGACAGAGCCACAGCCTGGCAGAAGGCCATAGACAGGCACCACTTGGCCCACCTCATAGCTGTGCATCTGCGGCTGCCTGTTACTGATGAGGCGGCGACGGAGCCGCTGCAGGAAGCGCCGCAGGAGGGAGTCGCGGGGGATGGTTCGAAATGTGAGGCCCAGAGCGAGGGGCAGAACAGCAAAGAACTTTCAAGCGCCCGTGCGGCTTTCCAGCAACAGCAGCGGGCAGCAATGCAAGCAGCAGAAGAGCTGCTGCGGCGTTTTGACCTTGCAGTGCTTGCTGTGGAGAGACAGGTGCTGCTGCTGCGTCGCCGTCAGCTGCTGGAGTGGCGCTTCTTGAGGGAATTCAGGGAACAGCGCATGCAGCAGCAGAGTCTCCACTTCGCGCCCTTCTTGTGGAGCTTGCTGCCAGATGGTGGGGACCCTGCTCAGCCACCTCGCGAGGCTCAAGCAGCAGCAGCAGCAAAAGCTGCCGCTGCTTTTGCTGCAGGTGCAGTCCCTGGGGGAGACCCAGGCTCACAGAGTCTGGCTGGTGCTGTCATGCTGCAGCTGATCCACAGCGCTCCCACAGCTGTTACAGATGTGCTAGTACAATTTTTGCGGACTTCTCCTTTGGGGCAGTTTGAGGGACGGCTGCGATGCCTCGAAGCGGCTAGTTTTTCCAGGCGCTTGCTGCAGCATGAGCAGCAGCAGCAGCAGCGGCAAGCGGCCACTACTGGTTCGGGATCCTTGAGCAAAATGGGAGAGGCAGACGCGCTGCAGGGTGAAGCTGCCTGTAGAGAGTCATGTGGAGCAGAGGTGGTGACTATCGCTATGGCTGCTGTTGCGAGGTTTGCTGTTGCTTCGGGGTGGCGGCGCGCAGTGCAGCAGCAGCTGCAGGAGGGCCGGAAGGAGATGGATACTGCAATGAGCACGTTGGCATCTCTTGCGCGCTGGGACATTTCCAACAGAGCCACAATGAAAGAGTCCGTCATTCATAGTCTGCTGCTGCTATGCGTTTTGCTGTTTTGCTGCTGCTGCACGGAATCCAACAATGTAGCCCAATACGGGCGGGTAAAGGAAGTGGTTTGGGACAGCCAAGTGCATGCACAAGTGCCTAGGGCAATTGTTTAGTCTTTGAAGCTTCTGTATGCTTTTCTGTTATGCTGCTGAAACTCCTGCTGCATTCAGATCCGTCCATAGGACTCACGTCCAGCTTGCCAAACACATTCGCAACTTTGACGGCTGCCTACAACAATTGATGCAGGCAGCCACAGGACCCTCTCAAGCCCGTTTGCAGCAGCAGCTCGTTGCTGCTGTGCTGTCCTTGCCTCTAGAGTCACCCTTGACTGCTGCGCGGCTGGCAGCAGAGAAGAAGGCAGGTCTTCCAAACAAAAGCAGCGCGCATTCTGCTTCTGCACCAGCAGCAGTGTCATCAGCAGCAGCAGAGGGAGCACCAGCAGCCGCAGCAGCAGCAGAAGTTGTGCAGGTGTTCTTAAAGAGCTGTTTGGGTCTGACTGATACGGATGCTGTGGAGGCAGCGCCGGTGCGAGACCTGCATGCATTCAGCAGCGAATCGACAAGTGCAGCAGAAGTAGCGCTTGACGTGCAAGCCTTCTGCCAGGAGTTTGCTGCTGCCATAAAGGAGGCCCATGCAGCATCTGCAGCAGCAGCAGCCTCGGAGCAGCAAGAGGAAGAAGGCCATCCCCAGTGTGGAGCTGCAGCAGCAACCTCACCAAAACCAATAAAGATCACACGACAGCAAATGCTTAGACAATTTGCATACTTCCGGTCGATGCTGCGCAACGACCTTAAGTTACCATGTCTTTCAATGTGCGGGAACGCACAAGGCCTCTTTGCTGCAGCCCTGAACGACGACAGCGGCCTGCCGGGGCCCCTGGCTGCCCCCCATCCGCTGCAGCACGCAGCTTCTCTGCAGCAACACGACACGGCGGCCCGGGCATCAGCAACACTAAAACGCGTGAAAGGGGGCGAGGGAGGCATGGCTAGCTGGTTAGCGAAAGCCCAAACAGCAGCGGGCACTCCGAAATCTGTCGGAGACCTCCTAGGCGACACATGGTCATCTGCTGCTCAGCAGTGGTATTTGATGCTGCAGATGCTGCTGCAGTGTCAGGAGCATTCTTCACCACACAAGGACGTGGCAGCTTACCGTGACGGCTTATTGGGTTTTGCTGCTGCGCTGCTGCTGCATGCGCTGCAACAGCGGAGACGCTGCTGGCAGGCCGCGGCAGAGTTTCAGGAGCTGGCGGATGCTGCCGCTGTCTCATTGGCGGCTCCTTCTGTCTCAGTCCCTGCTGATGCAGCTGCTGCTCTACTGGACGCAGCAGAGACGCTGAAGGAGGGTCTAAGACAGGCCCGCGCAGTGCTGCCAACTGTGCACGAAGCAGCCGTGCAGAATGACGCGCTTGAAATTGCCTTCGCCGTTCGCGACGCGTCTGCATCTACTTCGGGCATTTGTGGGGCTGCTACAGGTGCCCTCGGAGTTCCTGGTGAAGCTGGTGCTGCTGCAGCTTCAGCGGATGCTGCTGCAACAGTGGAAGCAGACGAGAAGCGGACACTGCTGCATGACGTGGAGCATATACGCAGGGCGAGAAACGTAGTGACCAAGGCACTGCAGGAGTTGGAGAAGCTACAGCAACTGCTACGGGACACTCCCGAGGCGAGGCGTCTTGCTTCAGCTCGCAGAGTTACTTCACCAGAGGAGCTCCAGCACTGTAATGCGCGCATGCGCGTGCGGGTGCAGTGGCTGGAGGGCATTAGGGCTGCCTGCACTGCGGCAGTGGAGCCCCTGAAGCCAGCGGCGGGCCTGAAAGGCAAGGGGGAAAATGCCGATGTGCTTTCAGATATACTGCCATCGCATGCAGCAGCAGGTCTTCGGAAGGCGTGTACTGCACTGCAGGCAAGGCATGCTGCTCTTGCTGACGCAGCTGCACTTGCTGCTGCTCAGGAGAAAACGAAAAACAGAGACGGGCGGCTGGCTGCAACGCTTGAAGCACTTCGCAAGTCCCTTAAAGAATGCGGAGGACAAGCCTCGCAGGACCAGGAAGTCGACAGTCTTATCCAAATTCCCAGCAGAAGTGCTGGAGACGTGCTGCCGTTGCATAAAGACGAGAAAGAGTTGCAGCAGCCTGTGTTTGATAGCCTGCCCTTGCCCCCCCTCGATTGTCTGTTTCCCTTCAAAGCCTGCACTGCTGCAGTTGATGCGTTCGGCACTGCAGCGCCGGCGTATCTCTCTTGCCCGCTGCTGCAGCGTGGGGCTGCTGCTGGCGCTGCAGCAGCAGCAACTACAGCGGCAGCTGCCAGAGGCGTTGCGTTGCAGATGCTGCAGCGGGCTGCTGCTGTCGTGTTGTCCGCCTTCGATGCTCTGGAAGGAACAACTCGGCTGTGCCTGAGTTTCGTGCAGCTGCTACTAGTGCTGCTGGACATTGGATTTGGGCGTTTGAGTAACGAAGAGGAGGAGGCAGCAGCATCTGAAGCAGCAAGGCCACAGAAACAAAAGAATGAATTGGAATCAGGTACAGGACTGGGGGAGGGAGATGCACTCCGGGACGCTGAAGAACCTCCCCAAGATGAGTGGCAATTCGACGGTCTTAAAGATGAAAAGGCAGACCCTCACCAGAAACCTCCCGAAAAGCCCAAGACAGAAGAAGAGGTAAAAAACCACAAACATCCCCGCCAATACCTTAAACCCTGGGAGCTAAGCCTCAACTTCAGAGCCGTCAGCGCTGTTTGCTGGGGAGCTTCGCTGTGAAGCCCTAGGCCGTAGACCTCAAGTCCCAGCGCCTATACTGAACCTCACGGCTTTGGCCACACACCCCATACCGCGAAGTCCCATTTCCCATTCTAGGACTTCTGGCCCGGGACTTAGTTTGTCTCATCTTCTGCTGCTCTGCTCCCTGTGCATGCAGGACAAGGCGCTGGAGGTCTCGATGGACTTCGAAGCAGAGCTGGAGGCCCTGCCTCCGAAACAAGACGGAGAGAAGCAGCAGGAACAGCAGCAGGGGGAGGAACAACTGGAATCGGCTGCGGGGCACGTGGACTTGGAAGAAGGGGGCAAGCTAGAAGACAAGAGATGGATGGGAGAGGACAATTCGGATGACGAAGCAGAGGGAGACAAAGACAAAAACACGCCACAGAAAGAAAAAATAGAGACTGAAGGAGGAACGGGGCTAGGGGAAACTGAATTGGAGGCTGCGGAGGACCCCACCGACGAATCCGCCAGCAATGACACAGACCCAACAGACAAGCAACAGAAGAAGCAGCAGCAGCAGCAGCAAGAGGGAGACGATGGAGGTGAATTGGTGGTGAGTCTAACAAACTTTAATGTGGATGCCTCTACGCTGCTTTTGTGCTTATAGAGACGTAATTATTTGCCTTATTGGCCGCTCAGAAGTTGTGTACTGTATCTTGCTGCGTGCGCTGCTGCTGCTGCCGCAGGACCCCAAAGCAGACGCGAAAAAGGAGGAAGAGCAGCAGGAGCAACCTGTTTACCACCAGAAGCTGCGGGGCCGCGATCTTGGGACAGAAGAGGAATTAGATGGTGATGCGGAGGAGGAGGGGGCTGGAGATGAACCCACGGAAGAGACACAAGACACAGGTGACGCAGCCGATGAAGACGGATGCGACCAGGACCAGCAGCAGCAAGAGCAGCAGAAGGTCACGGGGGAAGGCGCTGCAGAGGGATGGGGAGATGACATGCAACTTGACGAAGGGGCCCTTGACGAGGAAGGTGACGAGGGGGAAAACGGTGGTGACTCTCCTGGGGAGGATATGGAGGCCCAAGAGGAAACAGGCGATGCAGCAAACCAGGAAGATAGTGCTGCAGCTGATGCGGCAGAAGCCAGCAGCAGCACGGGGGATGACGTAGCGGCCAACGACGAGGCAGCAACAGACCAGCCGGAGGCACAAGAGCAGCAGGCAGGGGACCCACAGCTGCAGCAACAGGAAAATCTAGACTCTGAAAATGCTGCAGAGGGAGAAGACAACAATGATGCTCCCGACGCAGGCACGTCGGAGGCGCCTGAAACAACTGAAGACACAGAAAATATGGAGACAGAACAAGCAGAAGAGAAAGAAGGAAACGAAGAGGGGCCTCAGCATGACCCATCAAAAGAGGGTATGCTTTTCTGTATATCGCGGCTGAAGCTTTCTGCTCATATTTCTCCGCCTGTTCGCTCTTCTGCATTCGCTGCTGCATGCATTGCATTTCTTTTGCATGCATGCGCCTCAAAGCATGCATGTAGCACTTATATGCCACGGAATCGTTGGACATTGTTGCTTGCTTATGATCATAGAATATTTAGGTGATCTTACGTTCGAGACAAAACAGAGCAGCCTATGCAGTGGCAGTTTTGTAGAAGCGTGAGCTAGGGTCAGGAAAGGGGGAGGGGCGCTGCCGATGATGATACTAAAAGGCCTCTGCAGCATTTCCTTTGGTGCCTGTAAAGGCCCAAGGAGAAGCTAGAGATGAATCCGAGCCAGAGAGGGAAGGCAGAGATGCTGATACGTCTCTGTCTTGCAAATACTGAGGCCGCTCTTCACCCCCATGCGTCTCGCGTTAATTTTTTTTTGCAGCATGAAATGGCCTAATGAGCTTACAGGGCATTTCAGCTAAGCTGCGTCTGTGCTAAAAAGTGGTTGTTCTTTGTTCTATTTAACGAATTGCTCATTAGTGATGGACCCTGGGAACGGCTGACAGTCGCGGTGTCAATTAACAGATCATATTTTTAAATATTCATTTGTTGAACATTGTATCAAATTCGGCGACGCCGCTTGCTGCATTTAAATCGTTAGCGCAGCAGTTGTTTTGCTGGTCGTTCTTTTTGGTGCTGTTGCTTGTGCTCTGGCTGCTGCCTATTCCTCCTTGCTGGGGCAGCGTGTACGTTGCATTTGCACTGTCTTTTTTGTATTCAATTTCTGTGGCTGTTGCAACAAAACTGTGCTCTCACAATGCTGCTCCGTATGTATTCGCTGCTGGCGCAGGTCTTGCTGCGCCCCTAGAAGAGGAGCCGCCAGCAGATTCTTCAGAGCCCCAAAAGCCACCAAAGTCAGGACAGGAAAAGGAGCGGATGGCTTTCGGTATAGAAGGCGAAGGCAGGTGAGCGGATTGCCAATGCTGGTGGTTCTTTTAGCTTGGCCCGTCCTACTTGGTATGGCTCCTACAGATATGCATACATGAATGCATGCATGCATGCATGCACGCAAAGCAGCCTAAATATACTTGTGGGGCTTGGCACGTCCTGCGCTGTGCGCATGCAGCCTTGTGCAGCGCGAAGCAATGGAAGAGGATGAAGACAACGGATTCGACGTGGGGAACAATGCTGCAGACAACTGGGATCAGGGAGGAGCAGCGGATGCTGCTGCTGCAGGAGCAGCAGGCGGCTCCTTAAGTCGCAGCAGCGCAGCCGACGGTCTGCAACGACAAGAAAAGTCGCAGGCAGCTCGCGAGCAGCCCAGTATGATGCCGAATAACCCGCTGAATGACGACAGCGCAGTGGAGCGGTGGCTGCAGCAAGTGCATTTGCTGCAGCAGCAAGAGCACGAGCAGCAAGGGGAGGAGGAAGGAGAGGCGCCTGTGAGCTTCGAGGGCGCTGCAGCAGAAGAGAAAGCACAGCTCGAGAATGATTTGCAGCGGGGACAGCTCTGTGCTCAAGACAACGCCACGGGGACCCATGAGGCCTTTGCAGAGACAACAGAAACACAAGCAAACCAACAGCCGCCCCAAGCCAAACTGGCGGAATCGGACAGCAAGTGAGAAACAGGCAAATTGCAGCAAGTGGCTGTTGCTGTCACAAAAAGCAGACTATATAAATGCTGTCAGAGTGGCAAGGTGAAGATGTCTTGGTGCTGCATTTCCTTTTGTCGGGGAATCCTTCGCACTTGTATCTAGCCGCTGCGCCTCAGCACGTGCAGCTAGCTGCTGCTTCTTTTTCTCTGGGGCTGCGATAGCGTTCGGAAATCTTTGCCTATTTAGGGGCCCCCCTTCTGCCCAAGTGCTTTGATTTTGATCTGAGACAATTTGTTCATCTTTGTTGCGCTGCGGCACAGGGAAGAGGAAGAGGGCAGAGAGAAAAATCTAGACGAAATGGAACACGGTGAGCTGGGATGGTTGCAGTGCATTGTATGCAAGATCATGGTCCACGTGTTCAGTTGCTTTTGCTCAAGCATTGTCTTGTCTTGCAGAAGTCAAGTTCTAGGTTCTAGGGTTTAGGGTTTAGTCTGTGTCTTTTCTTGCTGCAGGTGAGAAGCTGCTGTCTACCACTGCCACGGCTGATCCGCTAAAAACCCAGCAGGAGGAAAAGCCCGAAGAGCTGCCTGTGCAGCCTGAGGGGGACAACGCCGAAGCAATGGATACAGATAACTTGGACACAGCGGAGACAGATTCGCAAGGGGAGGCTTCTGAAGAACTGTTTCAGCGACTTAGTGGTTCGCCGCAGACAGACGGCGCAGCAGACGGCGCCTGGGAGCAGCAGCAGCAGACACAGCCGCAGCAGGGGCAGCAGCGACAGGGCCACGAGGCTGAAGAGGATGAGGAGAAGAGATTGGAAGAAATGGAGACCGACTTCAATGAGAGACTGTCTCTTGATAATGTTGGAAAAGAGGGACTCTCTCCTGAGCATGCAGCAGGTGAGCAGGCTTGCGATTTTGCATGGAAGATTATGTTTGGGCTTGCATGCTCACTCATGTTTTTGTGCGTTGGCCTTCTCGTTATATTCATATCCCTGCATAGACTCCTCAGTGCTTATTGGCCTGCATTTGTGTGAATGTGCATCTGGCACATGAATGCATGCTTACCTACAGAACTATGCTGCTTGTCTGAAGATAAGCACATAGATTTGATCTATCGTATTGTTACTCACAAATACGTGAGCTTCCTCTTCATTTGTGTGATTAAGATATCTGAATTTCTTCTGTCATTTCCCTTTTAGTAGTGTTTCCAAATGTTTCCATGCGTGCCTCGGCGCCTTGCTCTTTTGCTGCAGCTCTTTGGCATCTACTGGAGCGCCGCACAGCGACTGCTGCTGTGGCCCTCAGCGAGTCGCTGCGTCTCGTACTGCAGCCCACAGCAAACGGGGCCTGGGAGGGGGGCTACAGAACAGGTACAACTAATTGCAAGTAATGCTGTTGCCGCTTTGGCGGCGGCGGCCTGTGTGTTGTGTCATCCGTTTTAATTCTTAGCCAAAAGAAGCTATTCAATTCACCTTACTAGCTATTGCAACTTCGGCAGAAAGATCAATTTAGCTGAAAAAGGGCTAGTCCATTCCCTCCGCAAAGAGACTGTCCCAACTTATTAAATCCTTGACCCAGATAAGTAATTATCAGATTAAGATCTATTTCTTGTTTTTTGGTTTGTTTGGTTTTGTCAATTTGTGTTCAGGCAAAAAACTGAGCCTAAGGAGGGTGCTGGCTTACATCGCCTCCTCGCAGCGCGACGACCGGCTGTGGCTAAGACGCAGGCGGCCAAGGGGCCTCCGCTACCGTGTCCTTGTGGGTATTGACTGCAGCAGATCTATGCAGCAGCTGCAAGCAGCAGGGAGCGCATTGGAAGCCATTGTGCTGCTCTCACAGGCGTTTAACCACCTACAGGTACAGGCCCTCTCGCTGTTTCTGTCGCTGCTGATGTTTTTGCTTTTGCGTTGTTGCTGCTGGTGATGGGCGCCGCCCTATTGTCAGTGCAGGTTTTGTACGGCTACTTGTGATTATCCAAACACGTATATGCATGTGCGTGTAAATTCAATTCGGCAAGTGTTCGTTTTCTTTGGGTCTTTTGTTTTGACTTATGCTGCTGCGCGCATAATGTCGGCTCTTGCTTGCCGCTAAATCGCGCGGCATAGACACACCGTGGACGTTACATGCTGTTTTAAATGCTTCGAGTTGTTTCTTGTTTGATTGTCTGGTCGATTTCCTTTTTGCTCAAGAAGCTTTTATGTATTTTTATCTTTCTGACGAGGAAGACATGAAAAAGGAGAGGGAGAGTCAGGCGTGCCATCGTCCCTCCCTATGAGCCTCAAAAATTGTAGTTTTCAATCCGAGTCCGAAAGAACAAAATGACAGCGTGCATTAAGTGGTGCATGCATGCATGTTGCAGTTGTGTTGTCCCTCCACGCTTGCTTTACCGTGTGCCTGTGCTGCATGCGTGCACATCGTTACTGTGTAGATGCATGCACATGTTAAATTATAAAAATATAATGTGAATTTTCACTCGTGAGACTTTGTCTGTTGACAATTTTCCGCAGATCGGCACCGTTAGTGTCTGCACTTTCGGGGGACCCAAGCCCGAGGTCTGCATTCACCCTACCGCACAGGTCTCTGCAGCAGACGGCCAGCGGCTGCTGCAGTCCTGCAGCTTCAGGGAGGAGTCACACAAAAGCCACGAAGTGGCCATCTCTGACTTGCTGCAGCTGGCTATCCATGAACTGGAGCAAGACAGCAGCAACAGCAGCAGCAGCAACAGCAGCATGGTCCTCATTCTGTCAGACGGAAGGTTCAACAAGGAGCAAACCAGGCCTTGGGTAAACGCAGCGATTGCGAGGCGCTGCATTCCTCTGCTGCTTATATTGGATCCCCAGAAACAGCAAAAACAGGATGAGATGCGGCTTCCTTGGAGTATAGGGGCTTCAGGAACCCCGGGGGTCCCAAGTGCAGCATCTGGGTACAGCACCAGCATATTCGACCTAAAGCAGGTGCAACACCAGCCAGGGGGAGGCTTGGAAATAACGCCTTACTTGCAAGACTTCCCCTTCCCCTACTATGCTGTTGTAAGAGACACAGCACAACTGCCAAGTGTTCTCAGCGATATCATTAGACAGTGGGTAGAAGCTGCTGCCAGCGGATGGTAGCCAGGCCCCGCTGTTTGCGTGTTTCGGCCCTCTTTTCCTATTCAAGATCTGTATTAATAGTGCAGCCTGTTCAAGATCCGCATTAGTAATACAGCCTGTTCAAGATCTTGAATAATAACGCAGCTTATTCAAGATCTGCATTGATAATGCGGCCCATTCAAGGCCTGGATCCGTAATGCAGCGTATTCAAGATCAATGTTTAAAATGCAGCCTATTCAAGATATGCATTAATAATGTAGCCTCCGCGTTGTAAACGCATGAGTGAAGTCGTTCCTTCACTGACCTGTTGAAGGCAAACAGACAGCGCGCGTCTTGCAATGAATGTGTATTCTGCGGAACCTGGTATAAACTCGTTGAGGAGCAGCTGAAATAATGCACATTTATGCATGTATATGTATATGTAGACGCACGCCGCATATGTTATACCCGCGGCCTTCAGCGTGCTTTCCTTTATCTTGAATTGCCATAACTCCCCGGCCAGCGCTGAGATCACTGCAGCGAATCCTCGGGGGAGTTTGGCGCTTTCGTTTTCGCAGAACTTTATTCAGGTGCTTCTAAGGAAGCCTTTTATAAATCCTTTACTCTGGAGCCAGATCTGGAAGCACTTGCTGTGCCCCGCAACCGTCTTGGGCCACATTTTGGCAACTGGCTAGCCATTTAACTGGCTAGCCAGTTAATTCGCTAGCGCCGCTCTCTCCAGATAACAGCTAGCTACAAGGTGACGGAGATACCGGACAAGTGCTTGGGCGCTACTGAGTGCTCAGCTAGCTAATGCCTTTGTTTGCCAGGTAACACTGAATGGGTATTTAGCTCTGTACCCAGCTAGCTGGCTGGTCAGCCAGCTAGCCATTGAGGTGCTGCCCATTCGCTGTGGCAGCGGACACATAAAGAGGCTGCGAATGTGTCTTCTGCACATGTGGAAAACGAAAAACATGTTACGGTGAAGCCAAAGCTGCTACGGGGTCTCCCCAGAAGTAAAGACCCCGCTGCAGCGCATCATCCAGCAGCAAGACGGAGTCCTCTGCTGCTGCTGCTCCCCCCATTAGGGCTCTTTCTGCAGCAGCTCCCTCCTGCCGCCGACGCACGAGCAGCAGGTGCAGCAACAGCATCCACATCCTGACAGAACAGCAAATAACCGGGACAGCCAAAAAGCGAAACAATGGAAACTTTCCTTTCAGCCACACAACCTGCTGCAGAGGGGTATTTATAAGAAAGAAGCAAGACAGGAGTCCCTTCATGGGTCTTTTCTAGAACGGACAAAAGCCTTCTTACCTTTTTGAGAAGGGGCACTGAGAAACCGACTGCAGCAAACGCTCCTCCATCGCCTGCGCTTGCTGCTGCAGCTCATCTTCCTGCTGCTGCCTTTCTTCTTCATCCTCTTGCTGCTCCGTTAGAGACTCCCTAGGGCCAGCTCGCTGCTGCTGCTGCTGTGGATTCCACAGCCCCTCGCAGATCCTCGCAATGGCCGTTCCGTCAAGGGACGCCTGCAGAGCAGCGGCGCTGCAGTTACTGCTGCTGCTGCTGCTGCTGCTGCTGAGAAGCAAAGCTTGCAGGTAAACCCAAAACTGCTGCTCGCGCTGCAGCGCTGCGGTCCCGCAGGGAAGGCTATTGGGGGACCCCGGTAGCCGCTGCAGCAGCACAAATGGAAGAGCTGTGCTCCTGGTGGCCCACTGCGCATATCGTTCGAGCTGCCTGCAGCAGCAGCAACAGCAGCAGCAGCAAAACACACACGCAGTATCAGCAGCGTTGTAAGAGGGCGATGCATTCGTGGGGCAGCGGAGACTCACACAAAGCAGCCACGACTTCTGCTGCTGCAGCTACCTGTACAAAGGCAATGTCTACTGGGAACTTGCTGCTGCCTCTGCTTTTGCTGCTGTGGCTCCGCTGCTGCTGCTGCCGGCACTGCAGCGCCACACCTTTGAGAAACAGCTTTCGCAGATTGGCTAGCGAGGAGCCACTCCGCCATAAATGCGCATTCGAGTGTTGCAGCAGAAGGCCACCAGCGCAGCGGCTGTGCCTTGCCTTCGGCTGTCGTTGCTGCTGCAGCTGCTGCAGTAGGCCCCAGCATCAGCTCCTTATAGAGAGCCCGCACAGCGCCGCGTCCCCCTCTGTCCAAGCGCAAGACAAGCTAAGCCCAAAGCAGCAGCAGCAGCGGCAGCAACAGCAACAGCAGCAACGGTACTCATGTCCAGCTTCAGCAGATGGCCACAACACGAAAGCAGCACGAAGGAGGCGCCCACGTAAAGCGCATGCAGCAGAAACAGCAGCAGCAGCAACCAGTCTGCAAACATGCAGCAGAAACAGCAGCAGCAGCAACCAGTCTCTGCTGCTGCTGCTGCTGTTGCTGGCGCTGCTGCTGCTGGTGGGACTAAGGTCAGCTAGCCACTAAGGAGCAGACAGAAACAACGGGCTATTTGCTGCTGCTTTAAATGCTGCTTTAAATGCTGCTTTTTGTGCTGCTTCTGCTGCTGCTCTTGCTGCTAAGTAAATGCTTTGAAGTGCATGTGCCTGCTACTAACCTGTGTGTGCACCGCAAGGAAGAAAGGATTTGACGGGAAGCGCTGCAGCATCCAATTTGAAGCGCGCCGCAGAACAGAAGCATCATCTGCCTCTGTTGCTGCTGCTGCTGCTGCTGCCTCTGCATTTGCTGCAACTCCGGCTGCTGCTGATGCGCCACTCACAGCCAGCAGCAGCACTAAGACGAAAGCCAGCGCCAACTCCTCACACCGCGCTGCTTCTGCGTTGCTGCAAAGACCCCATCGAGCTAGCGAAGCTGTGCTGCTGCTGCAGCTGCTGCTGTTGTTGCTGCTGGGGCCATTGCTGCTGCTTCGGGAGGCTGCATCCTGGCCAGCACTGCTACTGGTCAAAGAGCAGCCACAGCAGCAGACGCAGCAACTGCTGCTGCCATTCGCTGCCTCAGCTGTGGCAGCAGCAGCTGCTGCTGCTGCGCCACGGTGCTGCTCGAACAAAGCCCAAACAGCAGAAGCCGACCGCGATAAGCCTGCATGCAGCAGCAGGGCAAGAAAGAGGTTAGCCCACGGAGGAGAGACGAGAAGGGGGAAAGCGCTCGCATTGGCTGCAGCAACTGCAGCAGCAGCAGAGGCAGCTATGCGTGAGCGCTGCAGCAGCACAGCGCAGCAAGCCGTCACATGCGATCGAGCAAACGGGAGAGCTGAAGATTCTTCATCTTCCTGCGCTGCGCTGCCCTGCAGTTGCTCCAGCTGCTGCTCCACTTGCTGCTGCTCCTGCTGCACTTGCTGCTGCTGCTGCTGCTGTGGCTGCACAGCAACGCCGGGCGAAGCAGGGTCCAGCGAAGCAAATGAGCGATCAGAAGAGCACACTGCAACATGAAGGGCTGCTGCAGCAACTCCCCTGCCTTCGAAAGGCAATATATTGACCTGCTGCTGCTGCTGCTGCTGCTGGCTAGAAGCACCACTGAGGCTTCCTAGCCAAGAGGCCCAAGGCCAACCAAATTCTAGCAGCGGGGGAAGCTGCTGCTGCTCCCCCAGCTCCCGCTTCGCCGCAGCAGATCGTGCCTCTGCAGCAGCTGCAGCAGCAGCAGCAGTAGTAAGCTCAAGAAAAGCCCACGAGGCTGCCAAAGGCGCGTGGGTTGCAAAGGCGCTGCAGCAAGTCAGCAGAACTTTCCGTCCCTGCAGCAACAACGCTTGTGGCGAGTTATTCTTCACCTCACCACTGCTGCTGCTGCTGCTGCTGCTGCTGTTGGAGGATGCAGCAGCATCAGTGCTGGCGGCTGCAGCAGCCTGGAAAAAAAGAGAAGAGGCAAAGGTAAGCCACAGAGCTGGCTCTGCCTCATTCCGCTTGAGCACCAGCCGGAAGGTCCTGCAGCAGCAGCACCAGCAGCAGCAAAAGAAGGGCAGCATGAGAGGCTGGAGCAGCAAGACAGCAAAGACAATCGCGGGGACATGCAGCAGCAGGGGCAGCAGCAGGAAGCCCTCCAGCGTCTGCCCTAGCAACAGCAACACTTGCAACAGCAGCAACACCCACAGCAGCAGAAGGCTCTCCAGCCTCTGCCCTAGCAGCAGCAGCACTAGCAACAGCAGCAGCAGATGCAGCAGCAGCGCAGCAGCTGACTTGGGGGATGGGCAGAGACACAACGCGCAGTAAAGCAGCAGGCGGTCGTCAGGAAACGCCAAAAGGGCCTAATGGAGGTAGAGAAGGCACGCAGCAACATTTTGCTGCATTTGCTGCTGGCACCCTGTGCAGCCGCAGGAGCAGCAGCAAAGGCAGCAGCAACAGCAGCACGAAAAGCAACGAGGCAGCAAAGGAAAGCCAGGAGTCCTGGGTCACCTGTGAGCATATGAGGGCAGCCAAGGCCTGAGGAGTTGTGGCCTCTCCGATTGCTGCATCTAACGACCCCGGTTCGGCTTGCTGCTGCTGCTGCTGCTGTTGCTGCTGCTGCTGGTTCTGCAGAACTGCCCACCGCAACAGCCCCTGTGTAGATAGCCAGCTCCTGGCGTTTCGGGTTTGCTGCTTCAGCAGCGTGGCCTCAGCAGCAGGGACCAAAGAAGGTAGTGGCCACCAAAACGAAAAGGGAACACTCCCATTGTTCCTGCTGCTGCTGCTGCTGCTGCTGCTGCTGCGCAGTGTGGCTGCGGCCGCGAAGCTCGCCTGCTGCTGCAGCCGGAGCACAAGGGCCCTAAGCATGGCTGCATCCATTGCTGCTGCTGCAGCTGTGTCTCCCCGCTGCAAGCGCGGGTGGCCTGAAGGAAATCTGTGCAAAGTGGGGGAGCACAAGGCGTCTAAAGCCCCAAGGATAATGATGTAAGCGGGACCTGCTGCTGCTGCTGCTGCTGCTGCTGCTGCTGCTGCTGCTGCTGCTGCTGGAGCTGGGGATCTGACGGCTAGGCGGGCGCCTGGCCCTGTTCTGCTGCAGCACGAGACGCTGCGGGCAGCTGCAAAAGACAGAACAGCATCTGCTGCAGCAAGAACTGGCTGCAGCAGCTCCCACTGCTTTGATGGCTGCATGCGGTCCCCTGAAACGCAGTACGGCGAAGGCATCCGGAGGTCTGCTGCTGCTGCTGCTGAGGCAGCAGTTCTTGCTTCAAGGGCGGACTTTGTTGCTGCTTGCGCTGCTGCAGCAGCAGCTGCTGCAGCACGCCTCATGGCTTCCATGGCAGTGAACGAGGGGTCTGTCGCTGCTGCTGACGCTGCAGCACTGGCTGCTGCTGCTGCTTCTCCCACTTTCGCTGCGTCTTTAGCCGCTGCAATGGCTGCGTCTGCTGCAGTCTTACCTGCAGCAGCTGCCTCTGCTTCAGCTGCTGCTGCTGCTGCTACTCCTGCCTCGGATGCTGCACAGCTCCCCGCAGTGCGGCTTCTCCACGAGCAATTAGCAACAGCAAAGTCAGCAGCACAGTAGGCAGCGAATCCCTGCAGCGCCCTTTCCTGTGTGTGTTCTGTGCTGCTGCTGCTGCTGCTGCTGCTGCTGTGGCTGCCAGCAGCTAAGGGCTCGCCTGCCGCCTGCAGCAGCTCTTCCTGCGCATCTTTTTGAGCCTCACGCAGCGCCGCCACGGCTGTGTCAACAAGTTCACAGAGCTGCAGATAAACCTTAGTGACTGTGCTGCTGCACGACAGCTGCTGCTGCTGCTGCTGCTGCTGCTGCTGCTCGAGCCTACACCCAACTTCCCCAGCACGGGACCTGCGAGATCCTTCTTCTGCTGTCCAGATTTGCTGCATGACAAGCAGAAGACACAGCAAATTGAACTGCTGCAGCACCGGCAGCAGCAACGCAGGGGTAGCCCAAGCAGCAGCAGCAGCAGCATAAGCCGCAGCAGCATAAGCTGCAGCTACATAATCACTTGCAGCAACAGAAACGGCAACAGACGCAGCAGCAAACGTCGAGGATGCAGCAGCGCTAAGTGAACGATTGCCTGCAACATGGCTGCTGCAACAGCCACACGGCCTGCTTTTACTTCGAGGGGCAAAATGAAGCTGAAGAGGACTTCTTGGAGCAGCGCTAAACAAGTGCGATAGTTATCTGCTGCTGCTGCTGCTGCTGCTGCTGCAGATCCCGCTGCTGCCGATGATCCTGCTGCTGCTGCTGCTGCTGATTCTCTTAGAGTTTCTGCAGCAGCATGCAGCAAATCGGCAAACAGCAAACGTGTCGAAGCCTCTGAGTACTGCGAGGAGGCAGCAGCTGCGCTGCAGAGGCACCGTGCAAGCGAAAGCGTGGTTTGCGTGCTGCTGCTGCTGCTGCTGCTGCTGCTGCTGCTGCTGCTGCTGGGGTTCAGGGAAGCATTAAGCTTCCCAACTAGTGCTGCTGTTCTCCGCCAGGCAGGAGCTGCCAAGGGGGTCTTTGTCTGCAGCAGCAGCAGCAGCCGTCTGAGCACAACCACGGGCGGTGCTGCTGCTGCTGCTGCTGCTGCTGCTGCACCCTTCTCTTGGCCGCAGGCCATGTCAAGAACATCCTGCTGCCGAAGCAGAAGCTGCTCAGGATCTGCAGCAGAGAGCAGCAGCAGCTGCTGCTGCTGCAGTAGCTGCTGCTGCAGCGCCACCAGCTGCACCCACAGCGTCACATCTTGTGGCTTTTGCCTGCAGAACATCAGCAGCCTGTCTTGCTGCTGCAGCAGCAGCAACTCCTCTTCCTGCTGCTGCAGCAGCCTTCTTTCTTCGCGCTTTTCTGCGTTCCCGCTCCCCTCCTCGTCGCTGCTGCTGCTGCTGCTGCTGCTGCTGTCCTCTGCAGCACGTGTCTGTGCTGCAGCATCAGCAGAAAACAGCAGCGGCTGGTCCAGCCCTTCAACATACACTGAGAACTCAGTCCCTCTCTTTCCTGTGTTGTCAGCAGCAGCAGCAGCAGCAGCAGCAACTGCAGCAGCAGAAGCTGCTGCTGCTGCTTCTACTGCCTTCTTTCGGCGTCGATGCTCTACCGGGAAGGACGTCGCGGCCCCCGCGTCTGCTGCTGCTGCGCTGCTGCTGCTGCTGCTGCCGCTGCCAGCCGCCGCTGCCTGCTGCTGCTGGGCAGCTCGCGCTGCTGCTGCTGCTGCTGCTGCTGCTGCTGCCTTCCTCTTGGGCCTAGCAGCTAAAAGAGGCCTCGCAGCAGCAGCATTGCCTGCATGCATGCGCTCAGAGTCCCAAATAGTTTGGGGCTTTTCGGACTTTTGCTCCAAAGCCTTCAGCTCCTTGAGAGAAAGGTGGGGCCCCCCCTCAGCTGGCGCTGCAGCAAGCTGCCACCTGCTGCTGCTGCTGCTGCTGCTGCTGCTGCTGCTGCTTGTGATGGAAGTAGGGCGGCTGCTGCTGTCCCCAGCTGCAGGCGGGTCTATGAGGATGACGCTGTCGTCTGAGCTGCTGCTGCTGCTGCTGCTGCGTCTCCTCTGCTTTGCTGCTGTTGCTGCTGGCAGCAGTTGCTTTTGTTCACGTTTCTGCTGCTGCTGCTGCTGCTTCTGCAGCCTGCGTCTCTCCCTGTGTCGCCTGTAGGCCTCTGCCTCCTCCTGTTGCTGCTGCTGCTGCTGCTGCCTCTGCTGCTGCAGCAGCTGCTGCAGCTTCAGCTGCCGCCGGTGTTCTCTTTCATCTCTCTCAAGACAAATTTCTCCCCCCACTAATGCTGCTTCTGCTCTGTTGAGCTCCTCTTTTGCTGCTGCTTCCGCTTCATACTGCTGCAGCAGCAGCGGCTTCTGCTGCTGCTGCTGCAGCAGCAGCAAGTCCTCAGGCAAGCCCAAGCGCAGCAGCGCCTCCTCAGGGCGATATGATGTGCCGCACGAAAGTCCCGACACATCTGGGCCATTTTCTTCCTGCTGCTGCTGCTGCTGCTGCTGCTGCTGCTGCTGCTGCTGCTGCTGCTGCTGCAGGTAATCGTCCACATAATCTGGGAAAAGGGGCCCCTCTCCGTGTCGCTTCATTGGGACAGCAGCTGTACTAACAGAAGAGGCCCCTTATATATTGGGAGCCCGCAGTGCCCAAGCTGCTGCTGCTGCTGCTGCTGCTGCTGCTGCTGCTATACATGAAAATGGGCCAAATGAGATTCGGGCTAAGGGTCCCCTCTGGGCTCCCTACGTGCTGCCTCGCTGCAGCAGAGGCAGCAACATAGAAGGCCTTAAGCCCTGCTGCTGGAATTGCTGCTGCTGGGCCTGCTGCGCCCGCACACTATGTGCTGCTGTCCTCGCTACCGCAGCAGCGGCTGCTGCTGCTGCTGCTGCAGCGGCTGCTGTTCCCCGCACATTTAGACGAGGCACAGCAACGGGAAGGCTCATGCCGTAGCAGCAGCTACTGTTGTTTCTTGCTGCCTGGGTGAAACAGCAATGACAGCAGCAGCAGCAAACGCAGCAGCAGCAGCAGCAGCAGGTGATCCTCCTGCCTTCCTGCGGCTGCGCTCCACCGGCCCTAATTAAAGTGTTTGATTTATCTTTATTCTTAATTTTTAAATCAACTTTTGAAGCAGCAGTTAATACCCTCAACAAAAGTAACTCTAGGGGCCCCTCCCGCTGCTCTGTCTGAGGGCCCCAAGAACCTGGTCAAGGGGGGCCCCCTGGGGCCCCCCATGTCTATGCTGTACTTATTCTGGCTTATTGTTTATCTTTTTGAGCATTTAAAACTAATTATTCTTTTTTTGTTTCTTTATTTTCAAGTTTTTTGCATTCCTGGCCCCACTGTGGAGCTATCGGTTGCCTGGTGCAGCCTCGCCTGCAGAACTTGGAAGGATTCAAGTTTTGAATTGAACGCGTAGTTACGAAATGGCTGTTTATAAAGTCCATCTGAATAAAAATATTTATTTTTAAAAGTTGAATGGACACCCACAGAGTTCATCTTAGTCAACATTTGAACTAAAGTTAAGTGGCCACTGCCTACAGAGTCCACCGAAATAATATGTCCTTCGAAGTTCTTTGAAGTCTACTGGTTCTTACTGAAGTTAGCGGAGGCCCACCGCGCAGAACAACGCGGGGAGGGCAAATAGATGCACTTAGTGTCGCTAAAAGAACAAAAATAAAAGCATGCACTTGGCAGGGAAAATGCATGCAAAATGAACTGGCTGGCGGCCGCTGCGGCCCCAAAAGGCGCATTCAGAGGCCCCTCTGCGCTGTACAGACAGCCCGCAAGTCTTCACTACGAACTTCGCGGCAAACGCAGTGTACGTACACCCCAAATACACGCACAGCAGCGCTGGGGCCTTCCCACGGCTCTCTGCTCCGCAGGCGACGCAAAACGAAAAGCAAATAGACAAACTCAGACACAAATAAGCAGATTCACAAAAGCGAAGACTCAGCTCATGTCCAGACACCAGATTTCGGGGGCTTGCGGTGTACAGACACCGCAAAAACCCCACACACGAGGCCCCCCAGTAAGTATGGTGAGGCCGGCCTCATCATTAGTATTCAGAAGTCAACATCATTTAGTATTCAGAAGTCAACAGAGAATCATCATATAGTATTTAATACGTCAGAGGAGACACAAAGCAGCACCAGGGGGGCGCTGTGGGCCCCTGTGGGCTCCTTAAGTGGCCCCTCGGGCGGCTTCAGCGGCCTGAGGGGCCCCTAGGGGGCCCCTAGAAGTGGGGGGCCCTGGGGGGCCCTGGGGGGCCCTGGGGGGCCCTGGGGAGCCCTAGGGGGCCCTAGGGGGCCCCTTGGGGCCTCTGAAGGACTGTGGGGGCCCCTAGGAGCCCTGGGGGCCCCTTGAGGGCCCTGGGGGGCCTTTGGGGGCCCCTTGCTGCTCTTCAAGAGCTCCGCGAGGACTCTGTCTTCTGCTCGTGCAGATTTTGGAGCAGCAAATCAAAGACATAAGGAGGAGGGACCACCATAAAGACATCGGCAGCCTCTGCGGGGTCATAGGGGCCCTCGGGGCCCCCCGATGGAGTGGGTTTTGTCGAGACTCTCACGGAGGCCCCCGCGAGCCCCGCAGCAAACCTCGCCATATCCTGCAGCAGCAGCAGCAGCAGCAGCAGCAGCAGCAGCAGCAGCAGCAGTCAGAAGCCGAGCTCATGTATGCACTCGTGCAGAATAAATAAATCCATTTGCAAGATCTCCACAAGTGTCTGGACTCGGCACTAAAGAAGCAAATGGAAGCCCATGCATGCATGCAGCTGAGGTGTACAGACACCCCAGCCTCACCTCGGGGGTCTTTAGGGGCCCCTCTCCGGGCCTAGTTCGAAGCAAACAAATGCCCCCCCCCAATGCCTCTTCATAAGCCAAAACAACTCCAATTTCTTTCCACTCTGAGACCCTCCCTGGGGCAGCCCCGGCCACTTGCTTGAGCACAAGGGCCCCGGGGCCCACGCTGTACCCTTTGGGCAAAGGGGCCCTCTCCCCGTCCTCTTGGGGGCCCTCCTGGGGGCCCCCTGGGGGGTCCTCCCCGGAGCCTCCATGGGGGCCCCCTGGGGGGCCCCCCGGGGGGCCCCCTTGGGGGCCCTTGGGGGGCCCCCCGGAGGGCTGCTGGGCCCCCAGCACACCGGTGGCAGCCGCGCGGAGGGCCTCCAGCCACCAGCTGAAGACTCTGGCTGGGATCGTCGTCTCCAGAGAAAGGGCCCCGGGGCCCACAGGGGGGCCCCCCGCAGCCCCAGCCTGTACCTTGGCGGGGGCCCCCAGGGGCCAGGGGGGCCCCCGCAGCAGCAGCGCCAACCTCCTGCGGCTGGCCAGCTGGTGCAGGGCCCTGGTGAGGACTTCTTGGCCTATGTAGCAGCCTTTGTTTTGCAAAGATAAAAATCCCAAAAAGTCCATATTTATTGATAATGGAAGTGCTTCTCCGACTCCGACTTCTTGGGGCCCCTCGTAGACGCCCACGAGGTGTCTGTACACCTCGTACTCGCGCCCCTGCTGCTGCGCGCCGCGCTGCTGCTGCGCCGCCGGCTCCCGCGCGCGCTGCTGCTGCGCTGCTGCTGCTGCTGCTGCTGCTGCTGACGGAGAGTCCGCCTCTTCTGCTTCTTCAGCCCCACCAACTAGAGGCAAAGAAGCAGCAGAAGCTGCGCAGTCCTCTAGAGGGGCTGTTTCTTCTTCGGGGGGGCCCCACAAGTTGCGGTGTACGTACACCCGGTGCCCCAGACGCCACGTGCGGGGATCTGCAGCAAACAGGCCCTCGGTCCAGCGGCCTGGTGCTTCCTCCCCCTCGACTGGGTTTGCTGCTGCAGACGCTGCTGCTGCCGGGTCTGCTGCTGCTGCTGCTGCTGCTGCTGCGTCTGCTGCAGCACTAATGCCTGGGTGCTCTATGTAGTGAAAGAGCTGCTGCCCCGCACTTGGGCAAATTGCAAAGTCATAAAACTCCTGAAGAAGGGCCTCGGGGGGTCTGTCTTTGGGGGGCCCCCTGGCAACGCAGGGGCCCCAGCCTCTGCCTTCCTGCTGCAGCAGCAGCGAGACGCGGGGGGGCGGCAGCAGCTGCAGCGCAGCAAGAGAGGGCTCTTCGCCGAAGGAGACGTTGAAGGAAATTGCGTGCCGCTGCGCAGCCACAACGTGCAGCAAACGCAGCTGCTGCTGCTGCTGCTGCTGCTGCTGCTGCTGCTGCTGCTGCAGCAAATACGGCACGCGGCAGCAGCAACCGCACTGGCAGCAGCAACAGCAGCAGAAGCTGTAGGGCGAGACGCAGATGCAGCAAACGTTACGGCGGCACAAGCAGCAGCATGGGCAGCAGCAGCAGCAATTGTTGCGACGGAAGCAGCAACAATAGCAGCAGCGCAGCTGGCAGCAGAACTAGCAGCAGCAGCAGCAACTGCAGCAGCAACTGCAGAAATAAAGTGAAGATTAAAAATAAAGAGTTAAATACGAAGAATAAAAGCAAAAAATTAAAAATAAAGAAAGAAAAGAAGAGACAGCGCAGCAGAAACGAACAGCAGCAAACAGACAAAAGCACACAGACACAAAGGGGAAAAAAAACAAACAAGTCCGAACAAAAACAACTTGAAACAAATAAAAACAAATAAAAACAAATAAAAACAAATAAAAGAAATAAATAAAACAATTAAAACAAAAAAAATAAATAAAAAGCAAAGAGCAGCAAACCTCCAGATAAGTCAGCAGACGCCCGCAAACAGGAAGCCCCACATCCAGCAAAAAGCGGGGATGGCCATCTTTGGAGTCTCTGCAGCACAGCAGCAAAAAGAAAATAATTAAATTCCATTTTTGCTGCAAAAGAAGCCTGCTGCTGCTGCAGGCGCTGCTGGGGGCTGCAGCAGCAGCAGCAGCTGCAGCGGGCGCAGCAGCGAACTTCGCGGCGGCAGCAGCAGCTGCAGCAAATGCAGCAGCAGCAGCAGCAGCAGTGTCGAGAGCAGCAGCGGCAGAGGCGGTGGCGGCATTCAAACCAGCAGCACAAGTCGCGGCAACCGGGGCACTGACAGCAGCAGCAGCAGCAGCAGCAGCAGCTGCTGCTGCTGCTGCTGCTGCTGCACCTGGAAGCTGACCTCCACAATATTAAAGCATCTGCAAGTACTCGGCCCTTCGCATTTAAGAACGCAGCAGCAATAGCAGGCCGCCTCCAGAGGCGCAGCTGCTGCACCCTGCTGCTGCTGCTGCTGCTGCTGCTGCTGCTGCAGCTGCTGCTGAGGAGAAAGGAGCGGGGAGGCAGCAAAAATGGCTTTTCGCAAACACTCCCCTGCTGCTTCTCTGCTGCAGTTACCTGCAAACGCGTGAGGGGCCCCTGGGGGCCCCCCGGGCCCAACGCCGCAGTGGCCCGGGGCCCCAGGAGTGGGGCGAAGCAGCGCATGTCTTGGGAAACGAGGCCCTGCAGCAAACTGAATTAAAACAAAAAAATAAAAAATAAATAATTAAAATGTTTTTTAATTCAAAATAACGAGAGAGACGCGCAGCAGCAGCACGGGGAGAAGAAGCCACAGGAGAAGCTGCGAAGCAGCAGCAGCAAACTTGCAAAGTTAGTTCTAACAAAGGACTTTTATAAGTGCAGCAGCAAATTTAAAAAAAATTAAATAAATGCAAATTTAAATTAATTTAAACTCACGAAGCAGCATCAGGGCCAGACACAGACAGCAGCCGCCTGCTGCTGACTGCAGCAAGAATGCCTTGCGAGCTGCTGCGCAGCCAGCGCCTGGAGAGGCTGGGGGCCCCCAGGGGGCCCCTCCACAGGGGCCCCAGGGGCCCCCCCAGGGGGCCCCCCAGGGGCCCCCCCAGGGGCCCCCAGAGTCCCAGCTTCATCTCTGGGCCCGCGGCGAGGGCTGGGGCCTCTCCAGGGGCCTCTGGGGCCACTTAGAGTTTGCCTATCCCACGGGCAGCAGCAGATAAGGGCAGCAGCAGCGAAGGCGGAGCCGCAGCAGCGAGAAAGGCGGGTCAAGTTGAGAATCTACGGGGCAAATTAAGGAAAAAAGGACCAAAATGAATCAAAAATGGATCTTTTTACACTTTTATTCGTGTAGAAACACACTAAAAGGGAATAATAGAGAAACTGCTGCTGGCAGCGACGCCTCCATCACTGCAGAGGCGCCGGCGGCACACGAAACCTGCAGCAGATTAAGGTGTTCCTACACCCCAAATAAACAAGAAAGTCAACAAATTTATTATTTATTAAACGTTCACAATTATTCAAAGTCTGAACACAGCAACCTATCCGCAGACAGCGCTGCTGCAGTCAGCAAGAGCACGGGGCCCCCAGGGGCCCCAGAGGCCCCCCTGGACCCCAGAACTAGAGTTGTGCTCTCTAGAGTTGGGCAAAGAGGGGAGTGAGGACTCATTGTTGGGTTTTATTTGCTTTTAAACATTAAATTGCAATTAATTTTAGTGTATTTTTTGTTCAAGCAGCAGATCCGTGGGCTGATCGCTGCAAGCCTTGGGGGCCCCCCCTGTTGAGCTGAGACTGTGATGCCTCCGGGGGGCCCCCTAGATCTCGCTCAGCGCCTCTTTAGTACCCATATTTCTTCCTTTTAATCTTAATTACACTTCAGAGGGGTCCCAAAAATGTCGCCAGGAGGCTACCAGCCCTCCAGGCCCGCCAGATCACGCCCCAAGAGGTCACCTGCCCTTGAAGGGGCCCCAGGGGAGCCCTGGGGCCCCCCGCGGCACTCAAGGCGCAGGCAGTAGAGCCGAGAAGGTCTTGGGGCCCTCAGGGGGCCCCCAAGGGTTTAGGAGCGGCAGGAGGCCCCCTGCGTCGCAATGGGGGCCCCCCGGAGGGTCCTTTTTCTTTGTTTTCTAGTCCAAATAGCCCTAAAAGGGGCCCTCGGGGCCTTTGCCCAGTCAAGGGGGCCCCCTTTGCAGGAGCCCGCGGCGGGCCTGAGATGCCTCTCGTTCCTCCGCAGGTCAGCCACGGGGGGGGCCCCCCTCCTATTCAGGGCAGGCCTCAGGGGCCCCCTTGGGTGGGTGGGGGGCCCCCTGGGGGCCCCCCGCCCACCTCTCAAGGCCCTTGAGCTTCCTTGGGGGGCAGCAGGGGCCCCTGGGGGCCCCCCCTTTCCGGAGGGCCTGGGGGCCCCGGGCAGTGGGGGCCCTGGGGGTCTGCGGGGCCCTCCAGGGGGCATTCAAGGGGAGCAGCAGTCCATAGATTCCGTTAATAGGGGCCCCTATTCCTTTTCCTGGGGGCCCCACAGGCAGCTCAGGGGCCCCAGGGGCCCCCCCAAGGAGCGTCTTGTAGAGGCGGGGGGCCCCCAGGCCCCCACCGCCTACAGGGGCCCGGGGCCCCTGGGGGGCCCCTCATCAGGGGCAAAGCCCTGCAGCAGACAAGTCTCACTCAAGAGTCCTCTGCGAGAATCCTCAGCAGCAGCAGCAGCAGCAGCAGCAGCAGCAGCAGCCCCCCCAGGGCCCTGGGGGGCCCTCTTGAGCCCCACAGGACCTTCCGCCGCCCCGCCACCCGCAGCAGCAGCAGCAACAGCAGCAGCAGCAGCAGGCAGCGCAGCAGCTGCGGCGAAAGCAGCAAGAAGCAGTGCAGCAGCGCGGCCCTTGCTGCCGCCGCGCGCCAGGGGGGGGGGGCCCCCTTGGGGGCCCCCCAAGGGTTTGAAAGAGGGCCTCGAGGTCAATGCTGCATGCATTCGAGTGTGGGGTCGCTACGCGCTGCTGCGGCTGCTGCCAGAAGGCTGCAGGCCCTTAGAGGGGCCCGGGGGGCCCCCGGGGGCCCCCCGGGGGGCCCCCCGGGGGGCCCCACAAGAAGCTCTTGGGTTTCTTCATGTGTCTGAGCTAAGGAGGGAAGGGAGGCCCTTAACTGCTGCTGAACTTCGGACCATTGACCTCACTGCAGTCAGTCAGCGCCTCGCTGCTGCTGCTCCACTTGCTGCTGCTGCTGCTGCTGCTGCTGCAGTTGCTGCTGCTGCTGCACCTGCTGCTGTTGCTGCAGCGCCCCTTATTGGCAGGTCCCGTTTTGGTCTGGCAGCAGCGCGCGCCTCTTACTTGCTGCTGCCGTCTGCTTCCCTACAATGCCGCCGTTCCTGCTGCTGTTGCTGCATTTGCTGCTTCTGCTGCTGCTGCTGCTGCTGCTGCTGCTGCTATTCTGCTTCTCAGATCTTGTCAGTGGGGGCCATTTGCAAAGTGCTGCTTTTGAAGGCCCCCACTGCAGCCACTTTCCACAGGTGGCAGCTTTCCCTGGCTTTGCCAGCAGCCGAGGGGGCCCCCCAGGGGCCCCTACTGAAAAGCCCCCAGATGGCTTCTCAACCTGCTGCTGCTGCTGCTGCTGCTGCTGCTGCTGCTGCTGCTGCTGCTGCCCCCGCAGCAGGAGGGGCCCTCGACTCTGTGTCCCTGGAGCCGCCTGGCATGGGCGACGCTGCGCTGGCGCTGCCGGAGGCAGCTGAGGGGGCCCCTGAGGAGGGGCCCCTGCTGGTGGATGTTGGGGAGGCGGGCCTGGAGGGGCCCCCCGGGGGCCCCCTGGGGGCCCCCAGCAGCAGCAGCAGACGCCGCAGCAGCTCCTTCTCAAGAGCAGCAAAGGGGGGGGGGCCCCCAGAGAAAGGCGGGGGGCCCCGCGGCCGCAGGCCTGGGGGCAGCCGCAGGGCCTCGAGAGAAAGAGAAACAAAATCTGAATTAATTGCAACAAATGAAGAAGCAGAAGAAGAGGCCCTCTTAGAAGCTGCTGGAGTCTTCCGCAGCAAAGGCAGCAGCGGAAGTCCCGAACTCCCCAAGCAGCCTGCAGCAGCAGAGGCAGCAGCAGCAGCTGCTGCTGCAACAGAGCTAGCAGCATCATCAGATGCAGCAGCAGCAACAGAGCTACAAGCACCAGCAGACGCGGCACCAGCAACAGAGCTACCAGCAGCAGCAGCAGCAACAGAGCTACCAGCAGCAGCAGCAGCAACAGAGCTACAAGCACCAGCAGAAGCAGCAGCAGCAACAGAGCTAGCAGAGCTGGCAGGAGCAGCAGCACCAGCAGGTGCAGCGGCACCAGCAGGCGCAGCATCACCAGCAGCAGCAGCAGCAGCAGCGCCAGAAGGAGCAACAGCAGCACCAGTACCATCACCATTAGGAGCAGCAGAAGTCGGAGAAGCAGCAGGAACAGCAGCGCCAGCAGCAGCAGCAAGATTTGGAGAAGCAGCAGGAGCAGCAGAAGAAGCAGCAGCATCCCAGTCAGAGGCAAATGGGGCCCCGTTGCTGCAGGCAAAGGGAACAGGAAAGCGGCGAGGGCCCTCCACCAGCCGCGGGGGCCCCCTTGCTGCTTCGCTGCAGCAGCAGCAGCAGCAGCAGCAGCAGCAGCAGCAGCAGCAGGAGCCCCGGCCAGCAGTAGTGGCAGTGCTTGGGCATGTAGACCATGGCAAGACGACGCTGCTGGCCGCCCTGAAGCTCATGGGCCAGGGCAGGGGCCCCTTTGCCCCATCCAGCAAAGACAAGGGCCCCCGGGGGGCCCCCAGGGGGGCCCCCGGGGGGGCCCCCAGGGGGGCCCCCGGGGGGGCCCCCAGGGGGGGCCCCCTGGTGAAGGAAGCTGGCGGGATCACGCAGCGCATCGGGTGCTTTGAGGTAAAGACAGCCGCTCAATAGAATCAGGAAAAAATAAGAAAAGAACAGAAAAGTTTTGAGAAATAAATAAATCTATTTTGGAGATGCTGGAAATAAATTAAAGGCTAGAAGAGGCAGACAACCAATAAGGAAAAACAGCAGCAAATGACAAACAGGCAGACGCATTCTCCGACCTCGCTGCTGCTGCCGCTGCTGCTGCTGCTGCCGCTGCTGCTGCTGCTGCCGCTGCTGCTGCTGCTGCCGCTGCTGCCGCTGCTGCTGCTGCTGCCGCTGCTGCTGCTGCTGCTGCTGCTGCTGCTGTGCGTGTGGCCAGGTGCCGCTGCCGGAGTCCGTGTCTGCGTCTGCGCCTTACGTCACTTTTCTGGACACTCCTGGCCACGCAGCTTTTTCTTGCATGCGTTTTCGCGCTGCGCAAGCAGCAGATCTCGTGCTGCTGGCAGTAGCAGCAAACGAGGGGCTGCAGCAGGAAACGAAAACCTGCATAGAGGTATTCAAACTCCAGCTCTCGAGCCCCCCAGCTAACAAGCCAGCAGCTGCAAGGGTACAGCTTAGGGGGCCCCCCCCGACGGGGGGGGCCCCCTAAGCTGAGCCCAGCTTAGGGGCCCCCCCGACGGGGGGCCCCTAAGCTGGGCTCATTGGGGTTTAGCGCACAAGTCCCAGAAATTAAAATTAGTGTTTTGCGGTTAAGAGGATTTTGTTTGTTGAGTTGATTCTTTTCTCCCAGGCGTGCAAGGAGTTGAAAAACCCCCTTGTTGTTGTCATCACCAAGACTGACTTGGTGGAGAACCCTTTGGGGGGCCCCCCTGGGGTTCCCTCGGGGGGCCCCCCGGGGGCCCCCGGGGGCCCCCTGGTGGGCAGCGACTTCGTAGATTGCCCAGCAGGCGCAAAGGTCCTCGCAGAGCTTGCTGCTGCTGGCCTGCTGACGGAGCCCTTGGGGGGCCCCGTGCAGGTGGCAGCAGTGAGTGCCAGGGGCTTTTTGGAGGCCCAAATGGGGGCCCCTGGGGCCGATTTTTCCGGGAAAAAGACCCAATTGGAAAAGAAAAAGCAGCAGCAAACTGACAGATTTGGAATGCTGCATCTTTTGGAGTGCTTAGCGCTGCAGGCCGAGGAAATGGACCTCCAGGCCGCCCCAGAGGGCCCCGCCAGGGGCCTCGTCTTAGAAACAAACTGCAGCGCCAGCAACGGGGGCAGCGCCTCTCTGCTAATAAAACAGGGCACAATCAAGTGAGGCTTTGTGGGCCCCCAAGGGCTTTTCAAGGGGCCCCCAAGGGCTTTCCAGAGGGGCCCCCAAGGGCTTTCAAAGGGGCCCCCAAGGGCTTTTCAAAGGGGCCCCCAAGGGCTTTCAAAGGGGCCCCCAAGGGCTTTTCAAAGGGGCCCCCAAGGGCTTTCAAAGGGGCCCCCAAGGGCTTTTCAAAGGGGCCCCCAAGGGCTTTTCAGAGGGGCCCCCAAGCCTCGAAAGACCGCCACAGGGGCCCCCAAGGAGCCCTATGGGGGCGCACTGCAGGGGCAAGGGGCCTCTGTTGAGGCCTCCCCGAATCCCTTCAAGAGCCCCTTCTGGCTCTTGGCAGCAGCATCAGCTGCTGCTGCTGCTGCTGCTGCTGCTGCTGCTGCTGCTGCTGCCGCTCCTGCTGCTGCTGCTGCTCAGGCAGCAGCTAGTGTGGCTGCATGCTTCGCAGGGTTGGCGACTGGCTGGCAGCGGGGCCCTCGCTGTGCCGGGTGCGGCGGCTGGGCTGCGCAGCAGGGCTGGGGGGGGGCCCCCAGCAGCAGGGGGGGCCCCCACCCCGGCTGAGTGGCTTTGGAGTTTCCAAAGTTGTTGAAGTTTTTGGATTTGCTGCTGAGGATTTGCCGCCGCTGGGAGTCGAAGCTGCTGTCATGCCTTCAGAGGCGACGGCCAAGAAGCACCGAGAGGTGAGCGCCACGGCTCCGGCCTGCAGCTGCTGCAGCTGCTGCTACTGCTGCAGCTGCTGCAGCTGCTGCATCTGCTGCTGCTGCTGCAGCTGCTGCAGCTGCTGCTAGTGCTGCAGCCGCCTATTCCACTGCAGCTTCTCCTTCTGCCGCAGCTTCCGCTGCATCTGGCTGCAGATTCTGCTGCAGCTGGACGCAGCTGCCGATTCTGCTGCAGCTGCTGCTGCAGCTGCTGCAGCTGCTGCTGCAGCTGCTGCAGCTGCTGCAGCGTCAGCGGCAGGCGTAGGTGCAGCAGCAGCTGCAACAGCTCCTACAGAGCCCTGCGCGGATATGGCATCTACATAGGGGCTTTAAGAATGAAAATAATTTTCAACTTAATTTTGTATTTAAGTACAAAAGGGGAGCGCAGCAAGCAGAGCCACAAAGATGCGGTGCTGCTGCTGCTTCTAGTGCCCATGTTTGTGCTGCTGCTGCTGCTGCTGCTGCTGCTGCTGCTGCTGCTGCTGTTCGTGCAGAGGCTGTTGAACGAACAGGCGGCTACTGCAGCAGAAGCAGCAGCAGCAGAGGCACGAGAGCGCGCGTTTGCTCGGCTGCACGGACAGCTGCGAGAGGTGAGTGTGCAGTGGATTTATTCTTAAATTTTTATTTTTTGAATTTATTTTTTTTTAAAACAATTTATTTTGTTTGTTCAAAACAATTTGGCCAAAAGAGAAGGCGAGAAGAACAGAAGAGCCACAAGCAGCCAAAGAAGCAGCAACAAACCCAATGAGAAAGGCCAGGGAGAAGTGCTGCGCAGCAAAACCTGACTATTTGCTGCAGCAGCTTCTCCCATTTTGTGTCTTATTGTCTTTTGCTGCAGCACACTATTTTGCCAGTCACTGTGCGTGCGGGGGCCCAGGGCCCCGCAGCAGCAGTTGCTGCTGCAGTTGACGGGCTTGCTGCTGAGCTGGACCCTCTTTCGGGCACGTGGCTCCTGTGCTCCCCTGGGGGCCCCCCGGGGCCCCCAGGGTCTCGTCCAGGGGCCCCCCTGGGGGCCCCCCCAGGGGCCCCCGAAGAGGGGACCCGGGAAACCCCCCCAGAGGGGCCCCCAAGGGGGGCCCCTGGGGAGGCTGCGGAGGGCCCCGGAGGTGTACAGACACCGCAAGAAAGGCCACAAAGACTCGTGAAAGTGCTGAAAGCTTCTGCTGGCGAATGCCATTTGCAAGATGTGCAGCAGTGCAGAGACGAAGACGGAAGGGGGGGCTTGTTGGTGGCCTTCGACACCAAATGCAGCCGGGAAGCCAAGGCAAGCACATGCGCTTTCTGCCCTTTTAGCAGCAGCAGCAGCAGCAGCAGCTGTGCTGCGCATGCACCTTCTGTCCTTTTAGCAGCAGCAGCAGCAGCTGTGCTGCACATGCACCTTCTGTCCTTTTAGCAGCAGCAGCAGCAGCAGCAGCGCCTGTGCTGCTTCTTTTGCTGCTTTTCTCTTACCGGCTGCACTCCTGCGTTGTCTATTGTGGCTTTTTTGCTGCTGGCGTTTGTGGGGCATTTGTGCTGCTGCTGCAGCAAGCAGCAGAGGCTGCTCAAGTGCAAATAGTGCAAACTCGAGTCATTTATGATGTAATTGAGGCAGTGCAGCAGCGGCTTCTTTCCCACTCTCTCTTTGGGGCCCCCCCAGCAGCAGCAGGGGCCCCGGGGGCCCCCGATGGACCCGGAAAAGACTCAGAAGATCTGGCAGAGTTGGCAGTTAAAAAAGTATTCCGCTTGTCGCATGTAAGTCGCCCGTAGCTCCGACCTGCACGTACACTGCAGCCTCAGCCGAAGTGTACGTACACCCGAACAGCCGCTGCTGCTGCTCCAAAACGGAGCCCTGCTGAGGCTTCTGGCAAAGTCGGAATACTTCAAATTGCACTTTTTAGTTGAAATTCGATTCCTAGGCTTCACATTAAGCATTTTAAATGCATTTATTTGATTTTTTCCATTTCGAAACACCCAAAAGGTCTTTTTCAAACACCTTTTTCGCTTTTTTTGCTGCTGCATGCATGCAGGGAGTTGTGGTGGCTGGCTGTGATGTCTTACGTGGAAAGCTGACAAAGGGAGACCTCGTGGGCATTTCCAGAGAAGGCCGAAAGTTGAAGGAAGTAAGAAACTGCAAAAGAAGCCCCTAGGGGGCCCCCAATATTCGGCTTTGGGGAGTTTCGGGGGCCCCCCACCCCAGCCCTTATTAGATAACTATCGCTGTGCAGCACAGCTTTAAACCCTAAAACCCTAAGCCCTAAACCCTCAGGGTTTAGAGTTTAGGGTTTTAGGGTTTGGGGTGGTGTCGAATGTTTGTGAGCGGGGAGTAGATATACTTGCAACAATGCAGGCAGAGTTTGCTACAGACAGGCTCCACTTGGGGCTGCATGCGCATGCATGGAGATGCATGCGCATGCATGCACTTGCATGCGCATGCATGGACATGCATGCGCATGCATGCGCTTGCATGCGCATGCATGTGCATGCATGCGCTTTTCTTTACAGGCCGCTCGCGTGGTGTCGCTGAAAGTGGGGAAGGAGGCGAAGGACTTTGTCACTTTTCCCTCTGAGTGTGGAGTGGTTTGTGAGGGTTTTAAAGACTGGCAAATCGGCGATAGACTCACAGCCACTAGCAGCCAAGAAAAAAAGCCCAAAGGGCCCACTTAAATGCCCTTTTAGGGGCCCCTAAGCCTCAAAGAAAACCCCCAAAAGGCCCACTTAAATTCCCTTCTAGGAGCCCCGAAACCCCCAAAGAAAACCCCCCAAAGGTCCGCTTAAATGCCCTTTTAGGGGCCCCTCATCCGCCAGAAAACACCGCCAAAATGCTTTCTTGAATGCCCTTCTAGGGGCCCCTAACTCCCCAAGAAAGCCCCCAAAAGGCCCACTTAAATGCCCTTTTAGGGGCCCCTCATCCACCAGAGAAAACCCCCAAAGGGGCCTTCTAGGGGCCCCTCATCCGCCCCGTTTAAGCGCCCAAAGAGCCTCGCAGGAGCTGCCCTTGGGGCTGCAGAAGAAGCTTCTTCAGAGAAGCCCCGAAGGCCTCCTGTGGGGCCCTTTTGCTGGCCCAAAAGGGGCTCACAAAGGCCCTCTAGTTGGCTTTTTAGAGGGCCTTTTGCTGCTCCAGGCAGCCCAGCCACACTCAATGAGGGCTATATGAGGCAGCCATCTCAAGGAGCGAAGAGAAGGGGTTTTTCTGCATCTTTAAAGCACATTTGTGGGGCTGGTGGTTCTGGTTTTAAATCTTTCGTGTTCAGGCTCGTCTGTACATACACCGCAGGCTTGTCTGTACATACACTCCAATGGAGTGTACATACACTCCAATGGTCTCAGTCGCTTTCGCCGTTTCTTTTTCAATTGTGCAGCAGAACACTGGGCGGTGTTTCCGAGTTGTCTATTTGTCGCACTTTTCTTCTTTTTTGGCTTTCTGTAACTACTCAAATGGCGCAGTAACATTTTCAAACTTCTGTGCATCTGGGGCTAAGCACGAAGGCCACTGGCCAGCTATTTGGGTCTTTAATTTTTTCCAAGTCCAAAAAAGTATAAAAATTTTTCTCAAGTGCACACAGCCATCAACACATGTAACTCTGGCCTCTAGACTCCTCTGCAGGCACTTGGCAATTACTTAGAATGCGCCTTTGGGGGGAGGTCCAGTGGTCTCTTAGGCCCAGAAGAGGCATTTAAGCAGCAGTGGCTTAGTGGGCTTAAGACAGTGCGGCTTATATAAGGACTTTTTAGAGTTTCTGCGAGCTTTTAACTGCAATAGGGCCCAAAACTCCTTGGGGGTGCTGCTGGTGGACTCTTATGTAATAGAGAACGCAGGGAGAAGTTGCAGATTAAAGACAGAGTGGCTAACAAAGAGAAAAAAGATATTTTCAGTTCTTAAGGTGAAGAGGGGCAGTGCAGAGGCGTATTGCACTTGTGCACATACTCGCAGCCAGACACAAGGCACACTCAGCCAGTGGCGCCCTCATGAGGTGCAAAAAGACACCAAGTCTGAAACAAATAGTAATTAGTTTTGAAAAATTCAATTAAAAACTTTGTTCGGGTGTAAATAATCCACGTAGACCTGGGATTGTAGCTGCTGCTCTGCATGCAGATCGGGCATGCATCTTGCAAGAAGCCGATTTGGCTGTCGAGTGTCGGCAGTGGCTTCCCCCGTTAAATGAAGTGCGCATTAAATGTTTATTACATTTGAATGATAATAGTTTTTGAAAATAAATCAAACCTATGCGAAAATCGCTGCATTCGGCTCGCTTTCTTCGCGCCGCGACCCCTCCGGCTGACTGACTCCGCAGTCACTGCCGGTCTATGCGAGTCGATCTCTCTATTCCGCGGTTTTTTGCATCTTATTTTGTTTCTTCAACGAAATTTCAAAATGAAAAAAGGATTTTTGGCTTCCGATGACCCGAGATGTTCGAAAATTCGCCCTCCGCAGCGCCAGTCGCCCAAAACGCCGGATGGAAAGGTAACCCCCTACACACCGCTAGAATGCCCTTTTCCTGCGTTCTTTTTCTAAATAATTTATAGTGGAAGTGTGTTTATTTGTTATTATTTATTAATTATCTCAATAATCCGCGAAAACGCGTCAACAGCCGCCAGCTGCTTTCGGGGCGTATCGACCACCCTTGCCAGCCAAAGGCAGCTGCCGTCTTTGCTGAAATCCCACAAATTAATCCCCCTGCCTTTGACTCATCTTTTGTTTTATTTTCCATTATTAGACTTTCTTTCCATTCGTGAAAATAGCCTCTAAGACGCCTCCACGCAGTGCGCACACAGCGCGGCCTCAGGTGTTGCAAAAAACTTGAACTAAAACTGAAAACAAGGAAGAAATAGGATTTTAAATGCCCATTTTTCCACATAAGTTGGCCGTTTTATTTAAAAGCATTCAATTTGCATGTCTTTTATTTGTCTGTCTTTCTATTTCCTTCCTGAACTCTTGGTTTGTGTGTGTGTGACTGTCTGGCCGTTTCCCGGGGCCGTTTCTTCGCGTTTCTGTCCTTTTTGTTTATTTAACAAAACAACTTTCTTTTAAAAGGGTTTTTAATTTAATTAGCTTTTGTTAAATTGATTTCTGGGCAATTAACGGAGCAAGTTGCAAACCTTGTGCGCAGCGCAGCTCCAACTTAGCGAGATTTTCCTAATCTTCATGTTCGAAAGGACTTACTTCTTTATTTAACTTTATTTCTGAGCCAATGTTTTATTCAAAATGTTTAATGGCAACTATTTCTTAGCAAATCCAGACTCTGCTGCAGCACAGTTCATCTTTCTTGCAACAGTTCATCTCTTTTTTCGTGAAGTTCAGTTCTTTTTGTTGAGTTTTATTCCAGATTTGTTTTCTTTTTTCCTCTTTTTTGTCTTTAGTACACATTTGACCATTTTGAACTCGAAAGATATTTGGGAAATGGAAATTTTTCGGAAGTTTTCGAAGTCACCGAAAAAGGAACCACCAACACCTACGCGCTGAAAGTCTTCAACAGGGTAAACTCCAAACGACAGTCTTCTTGCCAATTAATTAAATACTTGAATTTAAATTAATTAATTAATTAATTAATTAATTAATTAATTAATTAATTAATTCTTTTCTCTTTTAATTGCTCAGCCATATGGTTGTTCCAGCCGCAGCTGTGAGTCTTTTGATGCCAGAGTGACCCAAAAGAACAGAGGATGCTCTTTCTGAGTTCAACTTTAGAAATATAAACAAATATAAACAAATATTTATATAAATTGAATTAAAAAACAGAAAATAAAACATATATTCAAAGAAATAATTAATTCCGAGATTCTTGACATTGGAATGTTTCAAACCCTCCTAAGTTTGTTCATGTTTTCTTTTATTATTTGCATTTCTGCGCCTCGAGATCACCGAATTTGCATCCAATTCAACTTTTTATTTTTTAATTTTATTTTTTTTAATTTTAAAACACCAAAGTTGAACTTGTTTTGCCTTTACTTTAATGAATGCAAAATGCCTTCTGTGGATTTCATTTATCTTTTTCTTTTGGTCTTTTGCATTTCTTCAAAAATGCCTGAGCAGCCGATCTTGAGTTCTATTTCTTTTTGTCTTTTATTTCTTTTTGGATTTCTTTTGCTTTTAAAAGGATAAATTACTTTTCTGAGTTTGTTCTGTTCCCGTTGCACCTGTGCTGTTCCTGCTGCACTTGTGCTGTTCCTGCTGCACTTGTGCTGCTGCTGCTGCTACTGCACTTGTGCTGCTGCTGCTGCTACTGAACTTGTGCTGCTGCTGCTGCTGCGCCTGTGCTGCTGCTGCTGCACCTGTGCTGCTGCTGCTGCACTTGTGCTGCTGCTGCTGCTGCACTTGTGCTGCTGCTGTTGCTGCTGCTGCACTTGTGCTGCTGCTGCTGCACTTGCTGCTGCTGCACTTGCTGCTGCTGCTGCTGCACCTGTGCTGCTGCGCAGAGCGACGTGATGCGGCTGAACAAAGTGGCCGACGTGCGGATGGAGCGCCACGCAATGCTGCGTTTGAACGAGCCGGGCCATCCAAATGTGGTTCGTTTGGTGGACACTTTCAAAGACGAGTTCCGCGTTTGTTTTCTTTACCAACTTGCAGAGTGAGCGGTGCATGCACGCGTGCATGCAACTTGCATGCGCGCAAAAACGCATGCGTTTTGCGCATGCATGCACAAAATGCATGCAAAAATGCATGCATTTTGCGCATGCATGCACAAAATGCATGCAAAAATGCATCATTTTGTGCATGCATGCAAGAAATGCATGCAAAAATGCATGCATTTTGTGCATGCATGCAAGAAATGCATGCAAAAATGCATGCATGCAGGTTCTACAGCGTTGGCAGTTTGGCCTGCGCCTGCGCAGGGTTGGCGTGGTTGGGGGTGGCAGCTCAAGTTATCTCGACTTGGCGAATAATAATTGAATATTTTTGCAAATATATTATTATTTATTATTATTTTTTTGCATTATTCTGCTTTAGAGGGGGAGAACTGTGGGATCACGTCAAGTTCGCGGGCATCCTGGACAAGCAGTGGGCCTTGGCCATCATAGCGCAGCTTGTCTCAGCGCTGGAGTACATACACTCCAAAAACATAGTGCACAGAGATTTGAAGGTGAGAGAATTCATTTAAAACTAATAAGAGTTTAGAGGCCCCAGAACACTTTTCAGATGTGTTTAGGGGCCCCCAGGACTCACTGACACTTCGAAAAACCTCGAATATATCCAAATCTCCTGTGGGCTGCTCGGGGGGGCCCCAGGGGCCCCTAGGGGCCCCCAAGGCCTCGAAGTGCCCTCAATCTTTGAAGGCCTTTTCGAGCCTTTTGGGGCTTTTGGGATCTTTAAGGAGTTTCTTGAGCTTCTTGAGGGTTTTAAGGGCCTTAGGGATTTACTTTGGGCTTTGGGGGCCCCGCTGGCCTTTCATCCCCAGCCTGCATGCGTATGGACCACTGGACCCTTTAAAGCAGAACCAGAGGGGCCCCAAGGGCTCCACAGGACGGGGGGGCGCCCTTCACGCAGCAGCAGCACCCAGCAGCAGCAGCAGCAGCAGCAGCAGCAGCAGCAGCAGCAGCAGCAGCGGCAGTGCAAGCCGCAGCGGAGCGTCATACGGGGCCCCGTGGGGCAGCTTCGAAGGCGTTTGATGCTTTTAAATGATGAAGTCCTTTTTTTGTTTTTGTTTTTTGTCTTTTCCTTGCATGGGGTTTATATGGGGCAGTTTTGGCTGTGGCTTGTTCCGCGGAAAACTTGAGCTTCCTGCTGCTGCTGCTGCTGCTGCTGCTGCTGCTGCTGCTGCTGCTGCTGCTGCTGCTGCTGCTGCTGCAGGCTGAAAATATTGTCTTGAGCCGCGAGGGTCTTATTAAAATAATCGACTTCGGCAGTGCCATGGACTTAGACCACCCCGAGGTGGAGGCGCCGGGGCTGGGGGCCCGCACGCCCGCGGTGGCAGGGAGTCTTGGGGGTGGCCTCAGGTGAAGATTTGGAGTTTATTTGATCCATTTGGACATTTTTGAAGATTTTAAATCAATTTAATTCATTCAAACATTTATTTATGCAGTATTTCTACTTGCAGTTTGAAATAATTGGTTTAATAGTGCTCTTGCTGAGCTCGTTTGGTCAAAAATGTGCAGCGCCGCGGGCTAAAGTTCGCGAGTTGCGCATGCAGGCTGTAGCTAAGTGCACAGATATGACTTTTCTGTTTTTCTAGTCTAAATATAGTTATAATTAATGCAATTAATGCAATTAATTGTGCCAAACTGAAGCTCCCCGAGTGCCCCCATGCATCTGCCTTGATTAATGCTGAAATTTTGTTTATTTAGTGCTATTTAATTTGTATGTAAGATTACAACGCGGGTCAGCGCGGCTGCCGATCTCGCTTCAAAAGAGGAATTAAATCCCAAATTTAATAATTTAAAACCTTTTTTCGCAAATTTAATATTATTTTTGTCCTTTTTAGCCGCTTAATCGCAAAAATGCATGCAGTCCGTTTTTGCTGCAGCCGCAGAGCCATCCGCCGGCCCACTTTTCAACACTTTGTCGGCACTCCCCAATTCATGGCGCCGGAGGCAATTAAAAACAAAGACAGCGGAAAGCTGAGAGATCTTTGGAGTCTCGGGTGCACAATTTATCAGATTCTGACGGGTGAGTTCTTTGCTGCGCGCTGCAGCAAAAAAAAAGTTGAATTGCTGCATTCCGGGCGCCAGATCGGGATCTTGGCAGCGGGAAACTTGCCCGAGTTGCCTCTTTTGAGAGGAAATTGAATCATTTGAATCAAAAAGGAGTTTTTTTTTAATCTTTTAATGCAAATTTGCGTTAAAAATACCCATTATGGCACTGTAGTCTTCACCCGTGAGCCTAACTCACCTATGCGCATGTGCACGAAAACTCCCAAGTCCTTTTGTTTGTCAGCGCCCTCATATGCATTTAAAAAAGATGTTTATTTGCTGCTGTCTACTTTGAGAGCTTGTGGAGTTGCCAACGCACGCTTTTGAATTCTCATTTTATTTCTTTTTCCATTTCCTGCAGGCACTCCTCCCTTTGGCGGCTCTACGGACTATTTCATCTTGTTGCGCGTGAGAAGAGGAACAAATTTATTTCGCATTTTGTCTTTTTGTTTCTTAAATCCGGTTTTTGTGACTGAGTGCCCCAGCGCAAGCTTGTTGTTGACTCAATCTACATTCTTTCTCGCGCAGTTTGTGCTGCATTTGTGCATTTCTTCAACTCTTTTCTTATGCCGCCACTGCCAGCTGAACAAACAGTTTAAAGGCAATGCAAAACTCAAGAAGTTCTTTCGATTTATTAGCAGCACGAGTGCAGCAGCCAGCAAGCTTTCCACTAAAGCGGCTCAGTTCGCAGACTTAAGAACAGGCAAAAATGGCGCTTTGCACACAAATATGTGTGTGCTATATTTGTTTTTACTTAAATACATCTTTATTTTGTTAAAATATGCATTTCTGTCTTCACAAAGATGAAAATGCAGCTTTATGTTCATAAAGATGTGGCTATTCAGGCGTTTGTGCTTATTTGCATCAGCAAGAGCATCTGCGTGAAGAGCGGAGCCTGCTTGCCATTATAATATATATATACATTTATTTATTTATTTATTTATTTATTTATTTATTTATTTTTATTTAATTTGTTCAGGTAGAATCTGGGGCTTTAGAGTTTCCGCCAGACTTTGACCCGCTGGCTCGCGACTTGGTGGAGCGGCTGCTGGTGGCGGAGCCGTCTCAGCGTCTGGGCGCAAAGGGCTTTGAAGAAATAAAACAACATCCTTATTTTGGATCTTGTTTTGATTTGAATTCGAATTGCAAGTTGGGATTTAACTTCAAGTTCAACTTGGAAGACAAACAGATGAAGCGGCGGCTGTTTCCGCCGCTGCAGGAGCTGTGCATGCGCAGCGTGCTGAAGCGCTTCCACGCGCTGCTCGAAAGCGAAATGGACAAAACTCGACAAGAAAAATACAAAAGTGATTTACATAAAAGAAGAAAAAGAAAAACAACAAAGCGAGCCAACAACACAAGACACAAGCAGCAGCGCCGCCGCAGAAGCCGAGAGCAAAAGAGAAGAAGAAGCCGAGACGCAGAAACGCACAGACTCGCCCGAAGAAAAAGAAAAACAACAAAGCGAGCCAACAACACAAGACACAAGCAGCAGCGCCGCCGCAGAAGCCGAGAGCAAAAGAGAAGAAGAAGCCGAGACGCAGAAACGCACAGACTCGCCCTCAGCCAGCAGCAGCAGCAGCAGCAGCAGCAGCACGAACGGCAGCAGCAGCAGCAGCACGAACGGCAGCAGCATCCGCAGCAGCAGCAGCAGCAGCAGCAGCAGCAGCGGCGGCGTGCTGGGGGAAGGCCTGCTGGACTTGTTGGTGCCAGTGTGTGTGCGCGAGGGGGCCCGCAAAGGCCCGCACAGCCACTTGCGGCTGTTAGTCGAGCGGCTGCAGTACTGCCTCGAGAGCCAGCGGCAGCAATTTGCCAGCGAGTGCAAACTCGCTGAAGACTGGGCCAAACGCCACGCCCAGGGGCCCCCCGCGAGCGCCGCTGAGACGGAGTCCGAGGCGGAGGGGGGGGGGGCAGAGGCAGCCGCGGCTGCGGGGAAAAGAACGGCCGAGCAGTGACG